GGGAGACCTGGGTAAGTAGCTGCCATTGCTACTGCCACCTTAACTGACTATGGCATTATCACAAAGGATGACAAGAGTCAGGTTATTGGACCACATAAGCTGCGGGATGCGAGACAAAAATACCGATTTAAGAGGCAAGAAATTGAGATGGCTAGTTTAGATAATTTGACGTCACTCTATTTTGATGGTAAGAAGACCGCCACTCGTGTGATGATAAAGAATGAGAAGACCGAGAAATGGAGTTCGAGGATGATGGTGAAAAATCATTATGTCATCATGGTTGAGCCTGGCAATGAATATCTCACACATGTGACTCCCAAGACTGGACACGGAAAGCAAATTGCCAAAACTATTCACGAGTTTCTGGTGGAGAAAAATCTAACCCAGCAGCCCATTGTGTGTGTTGGTTGTGATGGAACCAATGTAAATGTAGGATCAGAAAATGGAGTCATTCATCATCTTGAAATGTTACTTGGTCACCCGCTCCATTATTTCATATGTCAGCTTCACGGAAATGAGCTGCCTTTCCGCGCAGTTTTTTATCACTATGATGGTAAACCAAGTGGTCCTGAGCATTGGCGTGGTCCCATTGGAAAGCAGATCAAGGAGTCTTTGTCTGAGCTTCCAGTTGTCGCCTTCCAGCCAGTCAGTTTCCCTGATTTCCCTGTGTTTAATGATGAAGTGGAGAAAGATCTGTCCTGGGATCAGAAATACCTGTATAGGATTTGTAAAGGAGTTATCACAGGTGTTGTTGAAGATGACTTGGCTGCTATTGAGCCAGGTCCTCCCTGTGTGTCAAGGTGGAACACCTTATGGAGTAGAATCCTCAGGCTGTATGTAGCAACATCAAGACCCAGCCATGAGTTGAAAAGAATTGTCATTACAATAATAAAGTTCAGTGCTCCAATGTGGTTTTACATCAAGATACACCCTTACGTAACACACGGCTCAAGGAACGTATTCCAGTCCCTGCTATATATGAAACACCTGAATAGTGAGGAGGAGACGATAGTGAAGAAGGCTGTCCAGAGAAATGCATACTTCGCCCACACAGATCAACTTCTTCTTGGTATGTGTGCAGATGAGGACATGACTGTTAGAGAAAAAGCTGTCTCAATGATAAGAAAAATTAGAGAGGAGAATCAGCAAAAGGAAGAATGCACTGGCAGATCTGAAGAGGAGGAGGAAGATTCTGATGCTGCTGTTGACGAGAATTTGTTAAACTATACTGATGAGGAGGGTAAAGATGGAGATGGGAATGAGGATGTGCCTCCTGTAGTCAACATGAGAAAGGTGGTGACTCCGAAACTAAAGTGGCAAGCAAAAAACTATCATTCCATGATTAACTGGAGGAATGAACTCAAGACTGAGCCTCCTTACATTGCTTCTCTGTCAAATCTACAGGTTAATGACATTCTTGAGACACCATTAGTGGTGCCCAAGTGGCCAAACAGCACTCAGGCGGTCGAGAGAGGCATAAAAGTGATGACTGAAGCTTGCACTGAAGTGACGGGATACGAATCGAGAGATGGATATATTAGGCAAAGATTATTGTCTAGGAAAATGATGCCAAGGTTCCGCACAAAAAAGAATTTCAATATGAACTTGTAATGATTTTCTATACGGTGTACCTGTAAAATAACATGTGAATTAAATCGATGTCACCCATGTAAAATTTATCATTATCCTGGAAAACATTAAATGACACCTAATTTTTGGTATACACTAAAAGTTGACAAAAAGTCGTTCGCGATGCGGCAGGGTAAGTATGCATGAAATGGCATGAAATTTTGCACAGGTGTTTGTTACAGTCATACAAACGATGCCTGAAAAGTGCAGCCTGCAACTCAAATAAAAGTGTTTTTTCCCTGCCCCCTATTGTACAGTACGTAGAAAATATCAAGAATGCAGTTATAATTAATGTATTGTAATGCTTTTTTTAAGGTTCAAATTTTCATTATAAGGGTTCCTAACTTGGCAGATAACTTGAAAAATGCACACTCAGGCAACTTCAGAGATTTTGAACAGAATTCCTGAAGGAGGCATCAGGGGGCCCCTTGTGGGCTGGGGGCCCTAGGTCTAGTCTGCCTATGCCTCGAGCCAGCCCTGAATTAAGGTCAAGTTAAGATCAGTAGATGATTTAATGTAGGTATTGTTCACTGAACTTTCACTCTTATAAACAAAGTCACAGGTAAACAACAGATAGGGTGATGATGGTAATGGTGGTACTGATGGTAATTTTGACTTAGGGTGAGGTAGTAATGGTGGTGGGGACTGGTTAGAGGTGGTGCTAGAATGCACAAAGTTTATGGTAATACTGTATATATGGGTATTTTTTAGGCTTTATTAAAATTTGTATCTGATGGTAGGATGCATCCCCACTCATCCCTCGTTTAGCGATAATTTTTCTAACGTTAGGTTTTTCAGGAGTGCAACTCCACCGTTAAACAAGGGATACCTGTACAGTACAGTATAGTTAAATTGAAAATTGTAAGCTGTCTCTTTTAAAAGGTAACTCCCAGTGGGTGAGATAATACTTTCTGAAGGTCAAACAATGTACTGTTCTCAGTATACACATACAGTGGGGTATGCTATAACGAACGTAATTTTTCCAGAACCTCGTTCGTTATAGCATTTGTTCGTTATAGGATTAATCCGTTCCAGGCCCCCAAATATAACCACTTAACACTGAAAAAATTCTGTGGAAAATGTAAAAAATAAGGTACTTTATCTTACCTTAGTGTTATTCAGCATAGAGGTACCCCTAAACACTGGCACATCACTATCACTTCCACTGGGAGTCTTGGTTTTAAGGTCCTCAAACAATTGTCTGGCCTTCTCACAAATTATAGCTTCACTAATGTTACCACCTGCCATTTCTTTCTCCTTTATCCACACTAAGAGTAAATTTTCCATCTCTTCAATCACATTACACATTGCTTTGCTAAGTCTAAAGATTCCCTTAGCCACTTGCACAGTTTTTAACTCCTCTTTATTCTTCAAAATCGTACATATAGTCGATTTAGCCATCCCATATTCATCACTAAGTTTCGCAATGCTTCTTCCATTCTCACGTTTCTTTATAATTTCTTTCTTAGTTTCAAGGGTTATTAGCTTTCTCACTTGCTTTGGACGACTCATTGTTACAATTGTATACTTGTATAACAAAATAGTTATACAAATAACGCGAATTTCCACATCAAAAGACGAAATTTCAACAATAACAGTGGTGCACTGGCTACACAATGAGACAAAGATGGCGCCTGACATTCTTGTTGTGGATCACGGCACAACAATATTCATGCGCCAGGCGAAATAGTCCCGTATTCATCCACGTTCAATGTAGGAGTTGCGTTCGTTATAGCATTCTCAATTTTATAGGTAAAACCATTCGTTATAGGAATATTCGTAGTAGGATCCGTTCGTTATAGCATACCCCACTGTAATTGGATCTTTTTTTGTTCAAATGCCATTTCTGCCAGTTCATGGTGCTCTGCTTTTTTTCTTCAATGGGTACTTTTTCTTCATAACTTGCAGTCTTTGTTGACACTGACCCTTCTTTCACACAATTTTTCATGACTGACACTGGCTCAAAATATTTGCTCGGTGCTATGCACGTAATGAGTTGATAACATTGGCCCTTATAGCACTAAAGGAGCAGCTGATTTCCAGTTCAATGGCTCCCTTATCTCAAAATATGTATTTTTGTTCAAACCCCAGAATGTGATGCCTATCTTTTCAAGAAAGATCAACAAAGATTTTTTAAATATTCAATTACAAGTGTGGGACCGTTTATCCAACGTCCCGGTATGTGGAACATTCCAAAAACCGGCTATGTTCTGGAACAAATTATTTAAAATGAATGCCAAAAGTAATTCCCGGGCCGAGCACGGATTTTTCCAAAAATTCCCCATCTATGAGCTATATGTTATGCTATGGTTATTTTTCAACTCACAATTTTAAGTAGATATACGTAAGTAATTTTCTTCATGTTCTTTACTCAGTTACATACATACCGGTACTCAGTCTTATATACAGAAAGTAAAAAAAAAAATAATAATAATTATCACAGGGTATAAAGTACAGTATTTTTAAACTTGTAATTTTGGGTAGAAACATGTACTGTAATTTATTTATTTACTTTAACTCTAATACAGTAGTCCCTCACCAACTGTGGGGGATAGGTTCCTGGCAAACCCTGTGGTTGGTACTGTAAATCTAAAGGCTTAAGAGAAATAAAATATGGGGGATTGGTTCAACAGAAATTATTAATTTTATATGTTATTTGTGTCATCCTGGCAGGCAGTACAGTATGTACTATCATAAAACATCTGGAACAAAATGGATTTCATGTCTGAATCATTACATTTGTAGATTTTATAGATTGGCCACAATTTTCTGTTTTTATTTTGATCCCCAACATTGAAATTTGAAAGCAAAATTCCGTAAAACATATAATAAAAAATGTTTGGTCTTAGTTGATGAAAAGAGGCCTTTAAACCCCCCAAAATATTTTTTTTTAGGTTTTTGAATAGTTATGCTTTTTGCAAAATTAATTAGGAATTTTATGTTTATATAATGATTTACAAAGGCCCTAGTGCATATGGGAGATAACATTTTTAGTACTGGAAGGTATCAGTGGCTCCTGAACCCCAACCCTTATTTTCCCATAATTTTATGGATTTGTAATCATATAATTCCTAATTATATTCCTCCTTTGGGGATGCAACAGTTTTGTCATTCATTCAATCTCTTTTCCACCATTCATACTGAACATTTCTGCCATTTCCAAATATTCCATCCATCCGCTCTTGGTACCTTACCATTCTTCAGCTCACTTACAGTCAGTCCCACCTCCTCATCACTTCCCATTTTTCCCCCCATTATAACAAAAACTATATGTCTTTTCCCAGACTGTATTAATAAAAGAAACAAAGTAACACCTTAAACATTTTGACTCTGTACATGTTAGCAAGTTAAAACACAGGCTTGAGACTCACCCAAACCATTCTCCAACCTAAAATACGCATCTGCCGCAGAAGTGGTCCTTCAAACCTGGAAACACTGTGATGGAAACTCCGTACTGGCTGTACCTTAAGAACCTGCTGCATCTGCTGTGTCTGAGCCATATCATATGCAGTTTGGCCTGTGGAAAAATAAATGATGTAAATAAATACATGTACAGATCAATGATACTTTATCCAAAAACCAAGAGGTTGAATGGGTTTCAGTTTTCAGATGCCTAGGCCTTCATACATCACAATAACCTCAGTCTATCGTACTATTTTTCTACTTGCATTTAAGAGCTTTTAACAGTAAACTTGATTTTACCTTAAGTATTCCTCAGTACTTTAGGCTTTGGTAAAGTTTGGTTTGATCTACGGCCATAGCACTGTAAATAAAACATTCTCTCATTCACTAACATCAACACTTTCTGCCACATAGTCAAAGCAGGTTTAGTTATGTTCATAGACATTCATACAGTAAACAATTTTGCTTGGATTGTTTTTAATATTATAGCTAAAAACTTAACAGTGATTTGTGAGAAAAAAGAAGTTTATGGGTTACAGGTTTAGATGTGTGGACAGGTCATGCTGACTAGTCCAACCAGCTGCGCTGAAGAGTCAACCTGCATTTACCAATGTTTATGCAACCCATTGCATCTGTTATGCATTTCTTTGCAGTCTTTGTTATAAAGTACAGGGAGTCCTTGCTTTATGGAGGTTCAGTTTACAAAAATCCAAAGTTATGAAAAAATAACTTTTGTTCCATTTTCAATTTAGAAATGAAAAATCCAAAGTTACAAAAAAATCATCAATTTCATAATTTTTCGTGATAATAATGATATGCTAAAATAATGCAGCTTCTTTTTAATACCAATATGATTACTTATTTCACTAACTTACTTCATTATTCTTTAACACCCACATTGTTATTAAGTCGACAAATAAGCTTTCACTGTGTCATCATTCTCCTACAGTCACCATATTACTTACTCCTCAGACACACTGGGGACAAGTAGACTCATCTCCACCAGCAAAATCTCTTAACCAATTGCCTTATTATATCCAGGGGTGGATCCAGAGGGGGCATGGTGGGTGCACAACCCCTTTTTAGCCACAATTTTTTTTTTTTTTTTAAAACCTTCAATTACAGCAATAAAGTGTAGTCCCTGTAGATCGTAATGTATCTTTTAAAGCAGCGCTCTTTAATAAAGAACTGCAAGCCTGATGCTAGTTATGTTTTCCCAATGAAGACATAGAAGGATTCGAAGAGGAAATCTGGTCACCAAACCAGACGATGCAGATTTGAGTATCTGAATCAGTATTACACTAAGGCATATTAACCAGCAGCAGATGGTCTCCTCTCCCTTTCGTGTATTCTCTTCCCCACATAAAGCCAATCCACCTTCAGCCACCTACTGACTGACAAGCCTTGCAATAATTGGAAGGATGCAACAGAAGACTTGAAGAATCACTCAAAGTTGTCTATCATTTGAAGTCTGAGGCCAAGATTACAAGGCTTTGTAAAAACACATGAGAATCCCACATCAACCAGACAATAACCAGTGAGGTGTCAAAACAAGTGGAGAACAGAATGTTTCTCCTTTCTATCATCAGGTGCATCGAGTTCTGTAGGAGGAAGGGGGTATCATTAAGGGGCCACGGTGATGATTCTACATTAAAATCTATTGACCATTGAAATTTCAGAGATCTCCTCAACTTGTGTGTTGTGTCGGTGGACAAGGAACTCTCACATTTTGAGACAGTCAATAAATACCCAATACATTTAAAAAACAATGAAGAATGAGCTTCTTATATGTGTCAAAGAAGACATGCCAAAAGAAATGGTGAAAAATCATGATGCAATTGACTGACCATGGGGTAACATTTTTTGGAATGCAGGCTGATGAAGTCAGAGATATTACCAATGTGGAACAGTTGGGCATAGTGATCAGGTACCTAAACGAAAATGAACCTGTTGAGAGATTAATGGCGTTTGTTACTTGTGAGGAGATTACAGGCACAGCAATATGCCAAAAATTGCTTGACTGCATCAAAGGACTGCATCTGGACCCTCAGTTGTGTAGAGCACAGAATTATGATGGTGCAGAGAACATGGCTAGGGAAACCAATGGGTATGCCGCAAATTTCCAGAAAGTGGTTCCTAAGGCCAACTACAACCACTGTGCTAGCCATAGCCTTAACATGACCCTGAGCAAAGCAAGTAAGCTCCCAGAGATGACAAACATAATGTCCAATGTGCAGGGACTGAGAATTTAGTTCAAGTATTTACTGAAACGACAGTTACATCTGGAAAAAACACTGCACGCACTCAATGCAGAAAGAAATAGTTAGGGACAGCCATTCTTGAAACCAGAAAAATTCAAGCTTCTTTGTGAAATAAGGTGGGTTGAGTGCCACACAGCCTTGGAGGACTTCCATCATATGTATGAAGCCATCTTTGACTGCTTAACGAGACTCGGCAATAATGAGGGCCACAGATGGAATGTCAAGGCCGTGACTGAAGTCATTGGCCTGCTGTGTTCAATCACAAGCTCACAATTCATCACAGCATTCCAAGTGAATCGCAAAGTCTTAGCCTACACCAAGGGCCTGAGTCAGCTTCTGCAGGGTTCAACTGAAGATGTGGTCAGAACTCATGGAGAAGTTCAAGCAGAAAAGTACATACTCAGGTCAGTGTCTGTGTACTCCAAGATCTTTTAGACCATTGAACAGATAGCTGGAGTGGCTGGGACAACACTGGCTATACCCAATGTTATGGGCAGCAGATAAGGAGGTACCAGGAGACACACCAGAGGTCTATTACAGACATGTCCTATTCATCTCATTCCTAGATGACATGCTCCAACAACTGGAATCACACTTCAAGCCACTGGTAATACTGACAACCTCTCTGATGAAGAGGTGACTGACCTAGAACAGCACTTTGGTGAAGATTTTCCATTCCCATCATCTCTACATGCTGAAGTTCACATCTGGAAAAGGAAATGGGAATGTGCAGACTCCAAACCTAACAATCTGCAGGACACAATTGCATCAACTCCTCAGATGAGGATCCCATACATGCTGTTGATCATTCCAGTGACCAGTGCTGGAGTTGAACGTAGTAACTCAGCAATGAAACGAGTGAAAACTGGTCATGAGGTCCACAATGCAGCAAGACAGACTCAATGGTCTCATTATTATGTTTGTCCACAAAAACATCAAACCAGACTATGAAAGTATCATTGATAAGTATTCAAGAAAAACCGAAGAATGTTGTTCTTGAACCCTGTATGCATTTTCTTCATCTTTCAAACATGGGATATAGCCCATTTAATTTTGCTACCTATCTGGATGCCATTTACCTGCAAAAGTATGAGGGAATGCCAGAAAAAGTTATGTCGTGAGAAATTTGGCTCAGGAGTTCATTAATGTACCATCTTACTACAAAAGCGTCCGGCCCATCGGTCTCTGGTCAGTCACACACTTGGCTCCTGCCACGTTGCCAGATACCACTATTTGAACGAATCATACTGAAAACGGTGACATCATTTCTTCAGCCAATTGTAACAAGAGATTAGAACACTTACAGTTGCCTAGCTTTTACAATAGACAGGCAAGGGGTATTCTAATAGAAATTTAAAACCATTTCAGAGGACATTACTCAGTTGAGTGTTCATACCTGGAGCTGGCAGATGCTTGCCCCATTAGAGGTCACAGCCTCAGGTTAAAGAAGCCAAAAGTTCAGAAATTGTCAGAGATAACTCTTCTGGAGTGAGAGTTTTGAACTCTTGGAATAATCTGCCATAGAATTTTGTGATGACACCAAGTGTGAGTTTAATTATAGTAAGACCTGACTTGGCCAACACTGGCACAAGTTTAGGTACAATCTAGAGCAATTGCATGTCCAGTATTTGCCAACAGTATACAAAAGAGATGTGACCAACCACCCAAGTAACTAACAGGTTGATCAGAGGCCAAGAGCATAAAGTAAAAATAAGTAAAGATGAAAGGGTTCAGTGTTTTATTTAATGCCTCACTCACTGAACTGTATATTGTCAAGTCTTTTTCTCCTACTTTGTCTAACATGTTCTTTCCCATAAAACAATTTACAATATAAATATAAAGGACTTACTTAGGCATAGTCTTATAAATAGTCTAACTAAAAATACATTTGCATAAAAAGTTTTTCTACGACAAAAGGAAGAAAAAATAACTTGCCATTTAAGTTTCTGATAGAGGGATCACAGCCATTTTGTAACAATACAACAGCAACATCAATATGGCCCCGGTAGGCAGTGCAATGTAAACTGGTGTTGCCCTGAGAGTCCACACAGTTCACATTGGGAGCTCCTGCTTCTCGTAACTGAAACATTAAAATACCAAATTTTAATTCTCAAAACCTAAATAGAGTACAGGGACAATATCAGTACTGTACTGTACTTATGTACTGCATTTGACACTCTGTGATATTATGCATGCAATTTCTATCTACCATTAGATCTAGTTATTCTATATAACACTGTATCCAATTTATCATCTCACATTCCAAATAAATATTATTGAAAACTGAATTTGGTACACTGAAATTTAAATAGTTTATTTAGCCAGAAAAAATATTGATACATAAGAATATAAGGAGTCTGCAATAGGCCAGTTGGCCTGTGTATGGCATGGCTGAGCCTTGTGAGAGCCAGGGGATTTCACTCTTGATGGCACTCTCTAGCAGACTGGCCAGAACAGACTTAATTATAATGCCCATACTCATTTAAGTTTCAGGCTCCCTCATTAAATTGCCACCCTCTTCCTTCCGCCATAGGTAATTTTTTTTTTTTAACTCTTTCAAGATGTTTCCAGCCATTATACAGGATAGCCTTCACTGCGAGGACGCCACTTGTTATATCTTCTTTGACAGACGCCAGACGATTTTATTCAGCTCAGAGATGACATCATACACAAGGGGTTAAGATCACACACGTATACATTCCACTTTCATTCACTCTTATTGCTATAATATATACTGTAGTATGTTTGCTACCCGGGGATGAATCTCCAGGATGAAGGAGAGTGGAAAGCTTTAAAGAGTAACTGCAAATATGACAGGTCTCTACGTCAGAACTGCCAACAGAGGGTTTCAACAGAGGCAGGAGGAGTGTTCTCTTAAAACCATGTTTCGTAGTGGGAGACCACGAGTTACCATGCATGAAGATGTCATTCATATACTGGACACCATACAGGACCAACCAAACTTGTCTGCAGTTCAGGTCACACGGGGTCTGCAGCTTCCTTGCTACCCACGAACCACGACAGCGCATCCATGAAAATGACATCCATTGTTATGTGATAGAAAAGAAAGAACGACTATTCCAAGCACAGAAAGAATGTGCTGGAGACCAGTCAACACTCACTATGGTGCTCAACACATCCAGAGTGACAGCAAATTTTTGGGGCTGGATGTGGGCCTTTGGACCTGGGGAGCTGGTGAGACTAGAGGAAAAGTTCACAGGCGAAAATTACGGTAGTGTTTTCGAAGAAGAATTTTTGCCCTCGGTGCAAACCACTGCATTGCCTCATCCACATCCTATTACACTCGTGCAAAACAGGAGTCCCATCCACATGAAGAATGTGGTGATGGACTGGATAATTCAGCACCTGGAAGTAGAAGTCCTCGATTGACCGTCCAAGGGCTGTGATATGATGAGCCCCATCAAGAATTTATGGGTCATCATGTGTCATGAGTAGGATGAGAGTGATTAAGTTTGTTGCAACACCATTGAAAGAAAGGCCTGGGAGGTGTGGGAATCAGTGAGACAGTGTCCTAACATGTGCCTAAACTTAGCGGAATTCCGACCCAGGAGAATTAGTGAAGTGGCTGACACTCCTCAGGAAGCTGGACCTTGTATTAAAAGTAAATACCCATAATCACATCATTAGCATAAAAGGTTTTATGTGATGATAAAATATTAGCAGTAATAAAGACATCATTGCATATTACAGTATATATAAATTAAATAAATTTATAATCAACTATCTGAATAAGTGTACTGTTTTGTTTCAGCAACACTGTAGTGCAGTACAGTATAATATACGCAATGATATCCATTTCATATCTTGAGGGTAAATGCATCTGTATGTAATCCAGTATTGATGTTAATTTTGTATTGTTTATACGTTACTGCAATAAAATAATGTAGCAATATTTACCAAAACTATTATTCTGCATTCCAACTCTTCCTGCATTACACATACTATTGAAACCAAAACCACCAATCAGAGATGAATTATTCATCCTTTTGCAGCTGATGACTCTTGACAACTTAATATGTATGATCCAATTCGTTACATACGAGAGAATTATTTTTTTAAATGTTAACATAATAAGTACTACTGTAATAAACGTGCCCTACAAGTGTTAAGTTTTTACCACACCAAAATATGTCAGCCACCTCTCACACAACTGAGCACTAATGCCATTGTTGTGTAAGTAAACACAGAATGAACTATTGTGCCTTATGAATAAATAAAATACTGTAGACTATAGAGTAATATACAGTACAGATATAAGATAAAATAAAGAGTGTAGGGGTATATTGTGAGGGGTATATTGTGAGGAGGGGGGGGAAAATACTGAGTCTAGAAATCACCATAACACACGGGCACTTGTCAGCTGTGAGAAGGCTATGCACATGCCAGTTACACAAGAAGCCATAAAAGTTGTGGAAATTTCATTTCAATGCTCTAATGTGACTTAGAAATAAAGAAAATAAACTATAAAATTAATTCCCACAAGCCCATGACCCCTTTATGACAACAACATGCAATTTCACCATAATTCCCATATTATTTAGGTTCATTTGGTGATGAGATTCCCACACCCCCAATAAAAAAGTTCCACACTTGACCGCAAATGACTTATTGTGTCATATTAAATGCCCGATGCTTTGTTTACATAGACCAGCCAACCAGCACCTGCCTGTCTTCATGTTGGTGTATTGATGTCACCCACAGGATGATGAGAAGGGAAGGAGCTGTTTATGTTATAAATATCTACTTTTGTACACTATCCAAGTGTTACTGTATGTTTTATGTATGATGTTTAGTGTTTATGAAAGCAGTTTTGGAACAGTTTATCGGTATTTTTTTGCCTCTGGAACCAAACTAATTATTTCTATTTATATCAATTAACTATAATTCACAATCTGATAATCAGCAATGCCTTCTGGTACCTAACCCACAAATTATCATGTCTCCACTGCACTCGTAATTACATCAATTCTTAAGGGGAAAAATTTCTCACTATAAAACATTTCATTGTCACTTTTCTCCGGAACATATCCCTAATGTAAAATAAGGATCACTGTTCCTGCTGCAACCTTTGAATATTTGTTCATATTATTCTTAACCATGCATATAAAAGTATTGTTACTGAATTTTCATTAACAGTATTATTGAAAACCATCTCTATCATAATCCTAACATTACCAATGTAAAGAGATTTCATTACATCATTGTCCATCCCTGCAACCTTCCTCCATTTCACCCCCTCTCCCCATCTCTCCTGATAAACATTTTGGTGTGACATTTGTTGGTTCAAAAAGGCACTTCCTTCTGCTGCTTTGCTTCATGTTTGAACCTAAGATGTTTTGAAGTCACATTGTGGCTGGGAGGGAGACAGAACTTATGTCCTCACGTATACCTCATGTAGAGGGAAAGCAGCTACTACAGTATGGGGAAAGGAAGATTGAAATACTATACAGCTGCTCTTCGACTTACGACGGGGTTAGGGACCCAAATCCAGGTCGCAAGTCGAAAATGCTTAAATAATACATAGAAAATCTAAAATGGGTGTCTCTTTTTCTTCTCAGCACCACAAAACTCTCGCTTTTAAGCTTGCCAGCCATTTTAAAGTGAATTACAAACGAAAATTTTGTCAGTACACAGCGCAATCACTAACGTAGAGACTCGAAAATAAGTAATTTGAAAAAATTTTGGTACGACTGAGGCGGCCGTATGTGCGGGTGGTCGTAGGTCGTAAGTCGAGGAGTAGCTGTATTTAGGAGAAAATGGTGGAAGGAGAATGGAAAAGGCAAAGGAGATATGTACTGGGGGAGCAGCCTGGGGCTCTTCTGTTGTGGCCAACCAACTCAGATATAAGAGAAGATTAAAAATATATTTACGCTGTTATTTTTATCAACTGTTGGGACATACGCCAAATGCTCAAAAAAAAAAAGGAAAAAAAGAGAAAATCCTTCTTACCAACTTTGTCACTTCCTCTGCTTTTCCCTCTCTTGCATAATGCAAGATTCTCTCTTCTTTTCTTCTTTGTTCAGTCTTCTCTGCAGCAACTATCAGCTTTGTTACCTGTTGCATAAAAGTGAGCTGTACTGTGGTAGAACATGCTCTTGATATAAAATAGGTTATTTTATTAAAACTATTCATGGCTTATGAGGTATTGGTGAGTGACCCTTGATAATGTGCACATGACAATGCACTCATGTTATAGTGTAGGGGTGGAGAGCATTTTACCTCTGAGAAATATAACCGTTTTAAAATTGCTCCTCACCTGGTTTCATCAAGAATCCTTTAAAATATTCAGTGATGTAGTCACAGTTATGTACCTCTAAAGTTCTGAGATTCTTAATTTGTAGCTAATAACTATTAATAAATATTTACACCCTGAAGCACCCACCAATCACAGTGGGGGTTTTAGGGACACACCTCTCATTGCTTCTCACTTGGCCAAACAGAAACATCCAACTGTACCCAGCTACACTATCAGGGAATTGGTTGTAAGGTTGATTATTCATTATAAAATATACATCACTGTAATGTTTACTTAAATTTGTAATAGATTTTCAACTATTTGTACCTCATTGTAATTGATGGTAATATACATCTAACTCGTACATGCTCAACTGTTTACTGTAATTGCTTGTATTTGATTGGCCATTTGCACAACGGCGCATGTGCTGAGGTATCGGGAAAGGTAATGTCTGGGATTGTCGAATTCAAAGTTTGTTCTCCACCACTGACACTTGCTCGTGTGATCACTGTGCTTCACCTTCTCGTGAGTGTCATTCTAAGCCAACCGCCAAATTAGAAATTGAGGAAACTCTATGTCATATATTATATGATTCTTATGTTCTGCAATTCTTGTTACAGCCTTTTTTCCTGTGTACAGTATGTCAAAACACCTCCAGTGTTCACTACTTCCTCTACTGGCAACCAGCGCTATACCCTGTGTCTGTGACGGTGACAAAACTGGTTCACCTCCTACACCTGTCACAGGGTTCACCTGGAACACTTCACAGCAGGACCTGAACCACTAGCTCTGATCACACCTTGCACCTAAATTTGTATGCGTGGTGATGGAAATGTAAATTTGCAAATACATGCTTTATATTGAACTGTTGTACTGTATATCACTCTTACCCTCTCTGTTTTTAATGAAGTAAAGGTGAGTGATCAAAAGAGTAGAGTCTAACATCGGAAAGAACCTACTATACACACACATCCAGCTGGCTTGTCAACACATGATAACTTCCTTCATTGGATTTTTAAGGTAATATAGTAAGGTATGCTATAACGAACGGATTCTACTACGAATATTCCTATAACCAACGGTTTTACCTATAAAATTGAGAATGCTATAACGAACGAAACTCCTACAACGAACAGTATTTTTTATCATTTTTTTGTACTAATTTATTATTTTTTATTACAAGTATTAATGATATTCTTTATTTCAGGAGTTTAAATGCACATTTATGCACTTTTTTACAATTTTTACAATTTTATATTATATTTTTCATTGTTAAGTGGTTGCATTTGGGGGCCTAGAACGGATTACCCCTATGACGAACGATTGCTATAACGAACGAGGTTCTAGAACCAATTAGATTCGTTACAGCATACCCCACTGTAAATGATATTTCTATAGACTATTAGTTATTTTTATGTGTTTACTGGTTTAGTATCAGAATAGATATAGCTTTTAATCACACCATTAGGATGTTCCACCCTTAAAATTTTAAATTCTTCCTCTGCAGTGTTCTTATGGATTCATTTGATGGTCAAAGAGTGGGATGAACTGTGCTTAATACAGTACAGTAATTGTGAGCCTTGGTAGTAGCTTAGCTTCACAAAGTCCACTTTAACTCCTCTAATTCCGCCTTCACTAATTTGGGCTTTGCGATAATTTGGACATTTTTGGCAATGGCATATTACTTGGCAATTATTGGATGTTTAGACCCAAACTTCAGAATTACACCGAAGCTGTCAAATTTACCCACGTGTACGACTTGTGGACCTGTGCAGAACAGCTCTGCTTCAGTCATAGTTTTAAAATGGTGTTTTGTCTTCATACCCTTGTATAAATATAGTGGCCTTGGGTTATTTCACTAAATAGAGCCCGAGAACATTTAAGAAATACTGTAAAAACACGGCGATATAAAAAAAAATATACACTGTATTGAAGAAGTGTAATTCAATACAAAATACTAAGGGATTAGAAACCAGAAGTCAAAAAAGAAAATTAACCAAAGTTTAAAAGGTTTATTTATCGACTGAACTGACTTCTGGTACAACCAGGAAAAATAATGAGAAGTGTTCAAAATTGAAGAACACTGCACAAAAAAAGCATAATAAATCATAGCCACACTGCCCCTATTTGAATGATGGTTATGCAAGTTAACCAGGAACTTGAGATAATTTTTCTGCAAAAGATAAATGCTTTCTTAACTCATGAAAAGCTTTCAATAATGGGAAGGAATGAAAAAAAAAAACTTCTTGTCTCACTACCAGTATCTACATTTCTTATGTGTACCAGAGTGTGTACCCAGAGAAAACGTACAAAAGTTCGGTCAGATCAAACTGGACAACACCATTCTCTTATTTCACCTGGGATTGATCTCAGGACCCAATGTTGAGAAGTAGGTATGCTACCACTGCACTGTACTGCCAATTTTCACATACTCTGTACCATTTTCGACTTTTCTGTTCCTTTACAGATTTCACACACATATTATTAATGCAGTAAGGTCTTTTTACCTTGCCTTTTTGGGGTCACTTAAATTTGAGGCTAAGGAAACTGTTCCCCTTCCCCTGGCCTCAAGGCTTGAGTTGTAAAAAGTTAACAAGTAGAATGCTCAGATCTGAAATATTTGATATCCAATTTGTGAACAGATGCTCCTTGACAAAAATAACTAGTTTGTGTTCAAATGTGGTAGTGTTATTACTTCCCTCAAGGCCACTTATTTTTTTTCCTCACTATTTTTTTTTTTGTGTGTGTGAAGTTATGTCATACAACCTCTGCACTTAAGTCAAGGTCTGCACAGAATATGGCCGTCACTGTCTCAGCCAAGTTATCGTACAGTGCAGCACAACGCCTTCAATGTATTGCTGACATAATTGTTTTATATTTTCTAATGTTTTATCTGTTCTACAGTCTTTCTGATACTCTCTTAAAAGTTTTGTTTGAGTTCTTTAAATGACAATACCAGACAGTGTCAATATTTCCAAGGGTAGTTAGAGGTTTGAGATGGTATATTATAGAATAACACTAACCAAAGTCAATACCTGGTTCACATGTTGAAACAGTTCAAATGTGTTTAGTTCAGTATTTTTTTATATTTCATGGCTAGACCCTCAAATCCCCTCAGCCTTGTGATGACAGACACTGCAATTCAATATCATTTACCATATTTATGCAGATTATGCACAAAATCCCCTAATTTTGGAAAGACTGAAAACTAGAAAGGCTATATCATCTGGAATGCATTCCCGGAGTGTTTAAATAAGACAAACGAGTTAATAAACAAGTTAACAACTGGTTCATTCCACCTAAACTGAAGTCCTGCCTGGCCTATTGTATTTGAAGGCCTGTGTTCAGTGTGTTGCTATGTAATAAATCAATCACTGATGCACCAAAAACCATAAAATAATGAAGCATATAATTACTGCACTGTACTCATAATACTGTATTTAGAGCACAATTATGAAAAGAATTAACTACTTGAAAGAGAATATTCTGAGTTACTAAAGCTAACTTAAACTTTTGAAGTATTTTAATAGTGCACCTGGAGATCCCGTGGAAGATCTGAAGGGCGTAATCCTTCACCGTTGATGGTGGTTACGCTGGCTCCGTGTTCCAACAGTAACAGTACCACATCCTAGAATGAAGATGAGAGCAATTATGCAGTTTGATTGTCAACAACTACTTAAACTGGTGCAATGATGTCTTAAAAAAAAAATTATTTTTACTTGCAAAAATAAACGATAACTTGTAGTCAAAATGATAGGAAGTTTTATAAACAAATACTGTAATCTACTTCAGGGTAGGACAAGTTTGTTTCATACAAAGAAACAGATAAAGCTTCTTGTTCTACTCTAAACTTCATATGATAAACTGTACTGCAGAGTAAAATCACAGTAGGTTGGGAGATCGGATACCAAGGGATGCCTGTATTTATGTTAAACATACAGGCATCCCACAATACATGATCTCCCGACTTACCATTCTTCAATTTAACAATTAAAATTTTTAATTCCTCTTTGTTGCAAGACAATTGAACTTTCTCGGTTCAATGATCGTTGTGTCTGGAAATCAGAAGAAAAATCACTCCTTAGCAGCAACAGCTTTCTCATCATTGCTATGTAATCTTACTCTGCCTTATATCTTAAATTACCTTATATTAACAGTTTTCCCTTTCTTTTTATTCTTTAAGGAATAATTATTATTAAACTGGACATTTTTATCCACTTTGATCGTAATTTCATGAAGTTATATTTGTAAAACTCACAAAATAATTAGACACAATGAACACAGGATTCTCTCCTTTAATGAGGGGGTTGTGTTTCTGAAAATCTAATGTTAACCCATAAAAGGTCACATTACTATACTGTACTTACATGATACCACAGAAATATTTGTATAATCCATTTTTGTCTTTAATAATTTAATGTACAATACTTTACATCACTTTAAAATACTTTCAACTGAGGGTCACACTTATCTCAAGGCTGCCAAGCACTCAACATTATGGATGTTTGGCCACTCCTGGGTTAAATTACCACCCAGTATTACAATTTTCCTCTCACTATGTTCTGACAGCACATGAAGCAGTAGCTCATTATACTGTAGATGAATATTCATTAAACTTCACAATATATTTGGCCATTTTAAATCTTCATGAAGATTTTGTAAAACTTGTTAATCTTCTACAGGTCATTTACAAAAGTCCTTAGGCCATAAACTTATTTTACTCACTTTGGAAAGATTTCTCTCAAGTAACGATTTGCAGTGTTTAAAACACAAGATTCCTTGCAATTTTCTCCAAAATGCACAGGAAAAAACACTTAATCTGAAGTATTAGTTTCATATATATTTCCAGAGAAGCCATGCTATAGACTTTTTCAAAAACATTTATAGTGTATTCTACACATATCTAAATTCAATGTAACAAGCTTGTAATACTCCAGAAATATTTACCTCTCTGTTGGTCAATGCAGCCTTATGAAGGGGTGTGTCTCCTGCATCATTTAGTTCATCAATGGCTGCGCCATGCTGGAGGAGAGCTTCAGCCACATCATAGTGACCAAAGTAACTAGCCAAATGTAATGGGGTCCATCCTTGGTTACTTTTTGTCTTCCCTGTAAAATAGGAGCCATTTGGCAATAAATTAGCTTTTTTTCCATAAATACCATAAAGTAAACCATTAAATTCCACAACCTCCAGGTTCATGACTTTAATACCATACATGGAACAGTGCAGTACAGTACTAAAAACAAACAATTTTCACAGTATTTTCCATTCCATCGAGTATTTCCTATGACATATATAAAACACCAAATGTTATGGTCCAAAGATGTACAATACTGTACAGATAATTCAATTTCTGCAAAAAAATAAACAACAAATGAAAATAAAATAAATCCACTCTACCACAAATAATATCTGGGGAAAAAATAAACATCTAAATACTGTATGCTCAAACCATGCTATTTTGACATCATCAAGGCTCTACCCCTCTTTGAATTACCCAAAAGCACTTATTTAATACTGTTTAGGTAATAAGTGTTATAACTACAGGAGGACTGAGCCGAGACATTAATATGAAGCACAGGGATTGTATGTACCAGAAGTGGGGCAGGTCAAGTAATCATTTCACCCCAGCTTAAGTTGGAGCTGACAGTGTTAAAAAAGGTGTGGGCTAATATTGGTTTTTATTACCGACAACATGTATATTATGACTTCTTGCAAACAAGCAAATCAAGTGATTACATTAAGCCAGTAGTAGTTGAACAGGTGGATAGTACCTCACCTATAGTTCATCTGAATCTGCTTCCCTACTAGCATTGCACAGTAACCACATTTATAAAGAAGACAGTGATGATATGCCCGATGTTGGGCTGTGTAACTCTTGGTCAGGATGGCATCGCTCAGCCAGACTTGCAAGTACTTTACACACCATTTTCCATTTGTTTAAGTTCCATGTTGCCTACCATAATTTTTATTTTCGGATTTATTTCTAATTTGGAAACAACCATTACTTTAGTCTTTACAGCTTTAACTCTTAAACCATATTTTCCACCTTTTTCAACTAATCTGTTAACAAGTTTTTGTAATTCCTCTTCACTGTCTGTGATAAGAGCAGTATCATCTGCATAGCATATACAGTATTTACGAAGTAACATTAGCTGTGATAGGAGATGTACAAAAGAAATCAAAACAAGAATAAGGCAAGCAAAACCAGCATTTAATAATAAAAAATACCTAATGAAAAGGGACATTAATATTAATTTGAGAAAAAGGCTGCTCAAAAGCTTTATATGGCAAGGACTGATGCAATGATGCTTGGATCAGAAGTATGGACACTTGAAATGTGGTGTTATAGGCAAATGCGGGTCCGACTAATTACCCAAATGTAGCCAAATACAGCAGGAATGAAGTCAAATAATGGTCCTAGATGAATAAATCGGACTGCTAATCACTTCTCGACGAGTATTTGGTGTCAGAAAGTCACAAAAAATTGGAAAGCTTACTTTAATCTGAGTTAATAGATCACGTGCATGTACCGAGGGAGCGAGGAATTACCCAAATGTACCCAAATGTAGTCGCAATGAAGTCAAATAATGGTCCTAGATGAATAAATCGGACTGCCAATCACTTCTCGACAAGTATTTGGTGTCACAAAGTCACAAAAAATTGGTAAACTTAATTTAATCTGAGTTAATAGATCGAGTGCATGTACCTTACCTAACCTAACCTAACCTAACCTCGACTAGTATTTGGTGTCACGAAGTCACAAAAAATTGGTAAACTTAATTTAATCTGAGTTAATAGATCAAGTGCATGTACCTAACCTAACCTAACAACACAACTAAGATTAAATTAAGTTTACCAATTTTTTTTTTACTTTATGACACCAAATGCTAGTCGAGAAGTGATTAGCAGTCCGATTTATTCATGTAGGACCATTATTTGACTTCATTGCGGCTATATTTGGGTACATTTGGGTAATTAGTCGGACCGGGCAAATGCTAATAATAAGCTACACTGACAGAAAACAAATGAAGAAGTACTGTACTAAGATTGGCAAAAACTTCAAGAGAACTACTTGAAATGTACAAAAAAGAAAAATGAGATACTTGTACTTTAGTCATATATCGTAATCAGAGATGAGGTGATAACAGAAATATTAATGGGCAAAGCTGAAGGTAGGAGAGCCAAGGGAAGGCAGAGACTAGGATGAATGAATAAAAATAAAAAATGGATCCCCAGGGAGATGCAAAACCTTAGAGGATTGGTAAAAATAGCCTGATAACATTTAGAGTGGAGCAATGTGGTTACCAACCCTCAGATATGAGGACAGTACTCAAATTGATCACGCATGGGATCCTATGGGAAAATAAGCCGCATTTGGTAGAACTCATTTAACAAAAACATTTTGAAGATAGCGTGTCACTCGTTAAATGAGACCTTACTGTACGTGAAATACTGTATAGGATAGAAAAATATGGCAGCAAACAGTTTACAAGAAAATAAACGAAGAGAGTTTATGTTTGCCCTTGTACCCACCACCCTGCAGTATTTTGGGGACGGAACTACAACACTAGGAAAAAAAATAACATTTCACCTACACTAACATGTGTTTTACTAACACCTACACTAACATGTGTTTTACTAACATCTACACTAACATGTGTTTTACTAACACCTACACTAACATGTGTTTTACTAACACCTACACTAACATGTGTTTTACTAACACCTACACTAACATGTGTTTTACTAACACCTACACTAACATGTGTTTTACTAACACCTACACTAACATGTGTTTAACTAAGACCTACAAAACATAAGTAATTAAGAAAAACTTGCCTTTACAACTAATGTCCAGGTTGACCTTCCCATCCAGATGAGCCTTCAAGATTTCTTCAACAGTTTTTATATCACCATTACGAGCACTTCGCAGCAGCATGTCCTCAAACTGTTCTAAGTCCCCCATTGTTCATGTGTCCTTTATTCTGCTATCTAAACTTGATATTAAACTTCACAATTCTGAAAAAGATGGAAAAAATTATTTTATTTTATTTAGCAAACATACAAATATTGCTGATGAAATTAGTTTCTTAAAGGCAGTGTTGATTTTTTAATGCAGTAGTATCATATTGTAAATTTTCTTCGATGATTTCAGACACTCGGTCTTTATACCCTCCTATGAATATCCAAAAACTTGTCGTATTATATCAACAACTACTTAAACTTAAGCATCAGTACCACTTTCATAAAATAAAGGTAAAAGAGTGGTTTGGTTTTGTTAATTACTTTAAAATTTATAAACACAACCAGAACTATTGATTAGGGATAAGTAACTAAACCAAACCATAATCCTTTCATACCAATTATTGTATACAAAACAGGGTTAGCTATTGCTAACAGGAGGCCTAGCATACAGAATTGAAAACATCAACAAACATTTTAAGAGGGCAAAAAAATTTAATACGTAATAATATTCTCCATCGTCATGTATATTCATTTCTATTATCCCCAAGTAGGAGGATACAGTAACGTGTGGTGTGCATCTGTCCAAGCGTGTGTTAAGCTCATGGACTTTAAGGGCATGATACATTACAAAGGATGTAGACATGAAATTACAGTACTGTCATATGATCAGTGTTTGCAGTGATTTTACCTCGTTATTTCATTCTTCTTTCATGCCCCGTCCACCAACAAGTAATTTATGATTGAAGATAAGCTAAAAAAAAAACTAATACAGGGGGTCCTCATTATAAGAGTAATCGCTATCCGCAGTTTCACATTTACATGGTCGGGGTGCTGGTGGTAGAGTGGTACCGCTCTTGCCTTTGCAAGCGAGATGTCACGGGTTCGATTCCCGGGCCGGTGGAAGTTGTTTGGACACTCTTCCTAGCCCCCATTAGTCCCTGTTCACCTAGCAGTAAAGTAGGTACCTGGTGTAAATCGAAAGTTGCGAATTCGTATTCAGGGACAAGTTGGAGCTTCCAATAACTTGAGGACATAAACCATTGACTATTCAGGCTTCTATGCCCTTGATTATTCAGTCTTCTACTTCCTTAACTCATGAGACATAAAGGCAAGCATGAACTTAGCATGCTTCCCTGTTGGGCACTGTAAACGCTTCTGTGCTTCACCTTACACAAGGATGTAGGGGAGTGCCCAATAACAAAAAAGAAAAAGTTACATGGTCAACTTTTTGTGACCAACCAGCATACACCGGTCAGCTTAGCTCTCGTACAAGAGAAGGCTTTAAAGTTGCATGAAGACCTACGGAAGGATTTGGGAGAGGAAGAAACTGCCAAGGAGAAGGATTTCAGAGCGTCAAATGGTTGGTTCCATCACTTTCAAAGTGATATGGTTTTAATAACATAAAAATTCAGGGTGAGTCTGCCAGTACAGATGTCCATGCTGCTGAAACATTTCCTGAGCAGCTGAAAGATATCATTGAAGGTGGGTACAGTGCACAGCAGATTTTTAATGTTGATGAAACTGGTGTATTTTGGAAGCAAATACCATTTTGCACTTATTTATCAAAGAAAGAAACCTGTGTGCCTCAGTGGGGGCTTTACCCCAGACCCCAGGTTTTGCCTTCAGAACCTAACCTATCAGTATCACGGTAATCTTCTGCATCCGACAGAAATGTCCTTGAAGAAACGTGTTTTAAAACTGTCTAAACTACACGATAGGTATATTAAAAAAAAAAAAAAGTTGTGGGGCAATTAGAAGCAATAATACAGTTCTTCAAAGCCCTGCCCACTTTGAACTACTAATATTGTGGGTAATTTTATCTGTTAGAAAAACTCGAAAAATATATACAGTATTTACAACAGAAACGTTGTAGAATAAATTATTTTTAGTTTTTTCTCTTTCTCCCTATATAATTCAATATATAAGTAGGTGTTGACAACGTCTAAATATTAACCCACTGGCGCAAGTACAGATACATTCAGGAGCCAGTGCATGTCCAGTTCCTGCCAACAGCACATGAGTCCCGTGACCGACCACCCAGAGGCTAACGAGTCAATCAGTGGCAAGAGAATAAAAGTAAAAGTAGAAAATAAATGGTTCCAGATAAACTGTAAGTTATTAAGGTGACGATGACAAACTGTTTACTTTAACTCTTAATAAGTTTATAATACTCACTCTTTGGTCATTGTTTCTTGATTATTTGTACTTTAACTCACTATCGTAGGCGACACATCAAGCAGCAGCACACAGTGACAGGCCGACAGCTGATCGATGTAAACAATGCTCGGTGTCCCGAACCTTATACCATTTTTTTTCATTTAGGAATATTAGTATCATATTATTTAACTTCATATTGGGAAAAAATATAAATGGTAAACATTATTCGTAGAAAGTGTGTTATAAATAAAATTAAATATAATCGATAAAGATACATTTAGACGTGTCATCACTAAGTTCTAGTTTGTATTGATAATAATTTGTCTTGTCTTCAATGATAAAGTCTCAGGGGCGAATCCAGAAGGGGTTCCTGGGGGACCGGACCCCCTTTTCATCAGAAAATTGCGATACTTTTTCTTAAATGCAGGATTGTACTCATACGTTTTGTTTAGTAAAAAGTAATTACTATTAACCTCAGCATCTCCTAATATCAAGTGTACATGGCTTCAAAATGCCGTACTCGCCATGTTCCCCCACCCAAAACTTCTTTTGATATTCCTGGATCCGCACCTTAAGGCTGAAACGCTCACATTTTTTGTTAATGCACAGTTTTATTACCTAAACGTTTACTAAGTAAATCCTAACGGCCATCCAACTGCAGGGTGAACGTCAGTGGCCAAACTATTCTCATTTCCTGCTACGCCACAGCTTGAGGTGCAAAATATTTTAGTGGGCCCATCATAGTGTACTTAACTTTTTACTTTTATCCTCTTTACCGCTGATCGGCTCATAAGCCGCTTGGGCGATCGGTCACGTCTCTGTGAAGTTAAAAAAATAATCAAATACAAATCTAACATTTAAAAACTAAGGAACTCTTTCTCCTTTAAAGGCACTTCTATTTATGGCTCTATATTACTTTTATCGTCTTCACCAAATAATCAGCTCATTAGCCGCTTGGGCGATCGGTCACGTCTCTGTTACGCACTGTTGGCAAGTACTGGGCATGCACCGGCTCCTGAATGTACCTGAACCTGCTTCATTGTTGGTCAAGTCTTGTCTTGAAAGAGCTCACACTCGGTGCCGTCACAACACTTTCTGGTAGATTGTTCCAAGAGTTCACAACTCTCACTCCGAAAAAGTTTGCCCTCACAGTTTTCTGGACTTGCGGCTTCTTCAATCTTGAGCTGTGGCCCCTTGTGGGGCGAGCGTCCGCCAGTTCCAAGTAAGGACACGCGACTGAGCAGTGCCCCTTGAGATGCTTATACACCTCAATTAGGTCACCCCTTGCCCGTCTATAGTATAAACTAGGCATGTTCAGGCGCTCCAATCTTCTCAGGGTAGCTGAGGTGCCGAAGGGCAGGCACCAGTGTGGTGGCCCTCCTTTGAACATTTTCAACCAACCGACAGTCCCTAGCACATCTCGGGGACCAGACGGGGTGACAGTAATCCAGATTGGGAAGCACTTCATTCTTGAAAATCGTTGCGAGGGACGGACCGTCTAGATATCTGAACGACCTTCTTATAAGACCCAATAATTAATTTGCCTGATTTAGCTTCTTCTCGCAATGGCCCGAGAACTTCAGCTCATCGTCAACATACACACCAAGGTCCTTCTCACATTCAGTCTCAAATAGTGCAGTTTCTTCATCCGTTGGGACATATGATACGCCTCCTTACTGTTGGTACACCCCAGATGCATCCTCTTACACTTCGTGACATTGAATCTCAGCAGTCATTTTTCCGACTATTCTTGGAACCCACAGAGGTCCGTCTGCAGCTCTTCACAGTCCGCTTGGTTCTTGATTTCCCAAAATAACTTGGCGTCATCAGCAAACATTTGTATGGAGGAGTGTACAACATCAGGCATGTCTTTTATGAAACAAACAAACAACAGCGGGCCCAATACACTGCCCTGTGGTACCCCACTTGTGACAGGTCTGCTGTCGAAAGCCTTGGCAAAATTTAGGTCTATATTGCCATTCTGTTCCAGAAATTGAGTCCAAACATCCAGTACCTTGAGTAATTGTGTTAAGCAGGAACTACAAGAATGGTCAAAGAAATGGCTGATAAGATATGCCACGAAGTATAAGAGGATGCAGCATCTAGGTTGCACCAACAGTAAGGAGGCATACCACATATCCCAACAGGTGTTAAATCTCTCCTTCGGTGATCAAAGAACATGGTGATGGGGAGTTGTCGTCTCTTTCTTTCATTTCTTCCATGATGTTTTTGTATGGAGCAAAAACGTCATCCATCCCTCGCATGAATTTCAGGACACGCACCATGGAGGGGTCCATACTATAGGCCAGGTTTTTCAGTGCCTCAATATTCCTGGTCATCTCCAACGTTATTTCTTGGTGCTCTTCCTCATCCTCTTTCCCTTTCGCTTCCTCTTCCTCATCCTCTTTCCCTTTCGCTTCCTCTTCCTTGCCTGAGACTACTAACTCCTGTAGATCCTCCTCGGTCAGCTCAGTGTCGTGCTCTTCAATTAGCTCCCTAATCTCGTCCTCTGCCATGTCCTGGAAGCCTTCAGCAGCCACTTTCCTTGACAGTGCCAGGGTCTTTCTGAATATTTTCATTAAAATCCATCAAAATCATTTTCCTTGTCATCGTCTTAAGCACCAAACAGCTCCTCCCAGTCTTCTCCTTGAACAGGGCTAGAGGGTACGTGTTTTTCGAATCGTTTTCAATTAAAAAAATGTTACAGCACATGTATATTTTACCTAAACTGTGCCTGAATGAATATATTCTCAGAAATAAATAGTAGTTTTGCTGAAACGTGATGTATTTCAATGTAAAATAGGATAAAATACATGACGAAAACAAAAGACTTTACCTAACCTTCCAATGTTCAAGAGATGTTACTCGTTTTTTTAATAGTTTTCGGTTAAAATACTGTTATATTACAATGATATTCTATTCATACTGTGCTTGATATACTACATTCACGGAAATGTAATATTTTTGCTGAAATGACGTACGTATTACAGTGGAAAGTGGGATAAAATCGTGACGAAAACAATGACTTTCGCTTTCTTTCGTTTAAAAGATGTTACCGTAATCGCTTTTTGAATGGTTTTCAGTTAAAAAACTGTTGCATCACAAGTGAATTAGGATAGAATATTATTGTAATACAACAGTTTTTTAACTGAAAACTATTCAAAAAACGATTACTGTAACATCTTTTGAACGAAAGAAAGGGAGTCATTGCTTTCGTCACTTTCCACTGTAATACGTACGTCATTTCAGCAAAATATTACATTTCCATATTCTCAGAAATAAATAGTAGTTTTGCTGAAACGTAATGCATTTCAATGTAAATTAGGATAAACTACATGAAAACAAAAGACTTTACCTAACCTTCCGATGTTCAAGATATGTTACTCGTTTTTTTAGTAGTTTTTGGTTAAAATACTCTTATATTAGTGATATTCTATTCATACTGTGCTTGATATAATACATTCACGGAAATGTAATATTTTTGCAACTACAATGCTGATGTCAACACAAGCGTGGTTACAGTGAGACTGACTGAGTGATGGAAAGCTATGCGTGTGTATTGGAGAGGTTGCGGGAGCGGGCGGTGTCCCGTGTTCGGTGCCGGGCGCTAGTTGAACGGCACGCGATTTGAATGTACTTCAATGTACAGAATATTCCTCCGGCGGGGCAATCCGCGTAATTGCAAATCCGTGTATGCTAAACCCGCGTATGTTAAGGGCCGACTGTACAGTATAGTACTGTATATTGAGTTGTGAACTGTAATTCCTCGTTATTATATTTTATATATTTACACAGTTTATTGTGATCCTGAAATTGAGTGGGCATTTAAAGTTTAATTTGGAAGAACCTGTGACTGTATTCCTGGAGAGAATATCACAGGTCTTTATGACACAGGTCTGCCCCAATCAACAGATTTTTTAAGATTTAAAAAACAACAAATAATAAAAATAAAAAATACTGCACAATGAGAATCTGAAACTAGGAAATAGAAATAAATATACAGTACTGAACTTACCTGTCTGAGGGTGCTCTACCTGAGTGAGACCACAAGACCATTTATTTTTTACAAGAACCTGACATCAATCACAAGGTAAGTAAACAAAGCATTACTCTCTGCATGTTAATGATCTTCACACTTATATATTGACCCCTAACCCAGCTATGAACATTTTAGTATGTATATGAAATCATATAATAAATCATTTTACTAATATTTCTTTGCATGGAAACTACATTCATTTGGTTAATATGATCATAGATATATAAATAATAAATGTAAAATAAACAGTGCGAGTGCAGGTATAATTTTAATACCCCCCTCGCACTATGCAATGTGGGGAGGGGGGGGGGGAAGTACAGTATGATGGGGGATATGTTTGTTTACATTGGATCCTCCCAATGTAAACAAACATATCCCCCATGGCAAAGACACTTCCTTGGTTGCAGAGGAGTTCCGTTCCTGGAGGGTATCCATAAACCAAAAGTGACCCTTCTATAGGTAATCATTAAACACACACAGTACACATAATGTATATACAATTACTATACAGTTACAGGACTATTTATCCTACAGTTACAGGAGTATTTATCCAACATGCTTAGGACCTGGAGGTTGCTGGTTAAGATGTTTTTTCTGGAATCTGGAGCACCAGGCATAAAATGTACAGTAAACTCTATGCAACTGCCTGTGGAGGTCACTAGATTCACCCCTAAAAGTAGCTTTAACTGTACACTAAAACTTAAAATTGTAGGTACATAAACATCAATAACAAAAGCATATAAACAGCATTAATGAAAGCAAAAATAATATAAGTAGGTGTTCAAACAGCATCGCAGTTACCCCTGGTACAGCTATGTCCCTCTTTTATTTTTAAGTCAAATTACATATACAGTAACTTTTTTTTCTCTATTATTTAAGATGTTATATTAATCATAATGAACCATACACCATAAAAGGCTGACCCTTCGAAAATATAATACTGTACTGAATCAATAAATAATCCAACCCCATGCACCCCCCTCAGTCTGCTTATATATGCAGCGTCTTATTTCTTGGTAGGCCTACAGCAAATCTGATTAGACCACTTTACAGTATTCAATGAACAAGTTTTGTTAATTTTATAAGATTTACTTAGATTTTTTATTTTACTAATTTCCTAAAATACATACTAACATAATTTTTACTCATTTCTTAAAACCCTCTAGTATCTCCGTTAAAGACACTACGTACTCTACACAAAAAAGTTCACATAAATGAGTGTTGGTAGCAAGGTGCGGCACACTGATACTATACATATGAAGGCAGGACTCAGACTGAGACAGAGTCCGAGACAGTGAGACACGTGCTGCACAACACTAACTCACAGACGTTCAACCGCATGTATAAACACACAAATCATCTGGAATGATGCTGGCAGTTCAGAGCATCTCGAGCACCTCAGAGAGTATGAAAACACCGAATTGTGGTACGTTGAAATCTGATTAATCGAGGTCACTGCTGAACTCTATCTTGTGTATATTGTAGGGGGGTCCTCGCTATCAGCGATTAATTGGGAACAGAAAAACGTCACTGATAATGAATGCACTTAAAGCAAGGAATTAATCCAATAAGAAATAATGGAAATAAGTTAAATTGGGACCATGCCATTGTACATGACTCAAAAATTTTTATGATATCTTCTAACAATTATTTACTTTAAAAACATTTGTTAAACATTTGATAACACATTATTTTAATAAATTATTTAAATTTATAAGTAATTTAATGTCCCCAAGGTTCATTGGGGTCGGTATGTTGAGGCAATGTAGGTTGTGCCAGCGACCCGGTGAACTGCAGCCACCGTTGCTGGCACACACTCATTCCAATGGTTTACTGAGACAATATACTATACTTAATGTTTAAAAGATAAATAATTTTAACAATAAAATATTTCTATTTGCTTATCTTCAAAAGTACGGTTGTTTCAGGTATATGAAAGGCACGAGTGATGTCAATCACTCGTTCATGCCTCTTTTTCCTTAACACTTTTAATTTTACGCATATACTGTAACTAGGAAGCTTCTTTTTGAGCTCTGCACCACCCTATTTGGGTTGGGAACTCATGGCTACAAAAATTCTAAAATAAATCACCACAACATGCACGAAAAGACAACAAAGGCAGGGGTCAACACAGCACTGGTCTGGATGAAACAAAGTGGGAAACTGACACGGAGGCACGTAGGTGCATGCATGACGCCATGAAGAGGATGAAATTTCAAATGCTTCAGCTAAAATACCTTAGATTTTATCTGGAGTTTTCAGAGTTTTTGAGAGGAATCCTCTTAAATGCAGGGACTTTTTAAGTCACAAAAAGTTGACCACGTAACTGAAAAACCACGGATAGTAAATACAGTACTCTTATAACGAGGACCCCCTGTACCAGTAAATGTGAGGAATAAATAAATCAAAATAATAAATAAAATAAAATAAAAAATACTGCATTGCCATTTGACAACCATTTCACTCCCCACAGGACACAACACAGTGAGCAGCTGAGAGATCTCCACACTTCTCCCCCCTCCCCAGCTGTGTGCTAACTCCTACAAACTTAAAAAATTTTTATTCCCTTTATGTTTTTGACCTTATGATAATGATTTTATTTTGCACATTCTGTATGAAGGATTGTATGTGTACATAACAGTATAAAAAAAACATTTACCTGAAATTAAGAGTTGAACAATAACATACATCACAGTTCAGCCTAACCCGCCGAGTAATACTGGGTGGTGAGTCAGATACACAATTACATGCCATCTCAACAGATATTATTCCTCATTATCCCTTGTTTAGGATTTTATTCCTCGTTATCCCCCATTTAACGATCATTTCACTTAACAATGGGTTTTCAGGAACCCAATATTAAGAGTAAAAAATATTTTATACCTTATGATAATTACCGGCATTTCTTTTATTATTATTGATTTATTATACGTAAGATTGAAAATGTATGTCCTCTGACAGATGAATAGGAGTTTTAAATTTTTTTCGAAATTTTCACAATTATACACTTCAAGGAAGCCTCTTGGTCCCAAAGTTTTTAGCTAACAGAAAGTCACATTAACAATTGGCCCTAAATGAATGAAAAATAGAAGTAACCCGAACAACTTTATGTATAAAAACGTATAATGTCTGACACTGAGGGAATGAGTAAGTAAGGACCTCTAAACTATGTAGTACTATAGAGAAATAATAATGAAATAAAAGCCTTGCCAATTTATTACAAATGTAGTAAACATATAATATCCTGAAGCTACTTAGTTAAGACTATGTAGAAACGAAAACCAACAGTGTAAATACTCTTATTTAATTCAGTATTTTTTGTAAATCATATTCCTTTTTTTTTTTTTTACAAAACACTTAGTTGCTACAAAACAGGATTTAGTAATTCAAATATAGTTAAAGTTGTTCCTTACATGACTGCCACACATCGGAAAAAACAAATATTAATTCCTTTAAACACAATCCTTTACTTGTGGGTATTATATTCACACACCCCATTTATCATTTCTTGCACCTCTGTTTCCAAAGCGACCTCTTCGACCTTGAAATTCTTTTGCAGCTTTAGCCTCCTCCCAGCGCTCCTTCATACGGTATAATTCAGGGTGGATCTCCTGAAAGACAATTAATACATACTATAGTGAAACCTCTATTCAACGGACTACTGTATATGGAAAGAAAAGTCTGTGATATTGAGAGCCCGTTAGATGTGAAATCCCCATCTCACGGATTATATGGAGAGAGAATTCCGTTACATCAATAGCTGATAAAGTACATCCCAATAAATCAATCAATCAAACAGAGTACCATCCTCATATCTGAGGGTTGGCGACCATAGTTGGGCTGTGCAAAATATACATACTGTAAAGAAGTCCGGAGTCCAGGCAACCTGTAGCTTCAACTAACGTGCACCAAAATGAAATAATATACTTATCCCACCTTATTCGCGAGGGTTAAGTTCATGGAAATCATTGTCAATTCACAAATACTGAATTTATTACCTTATGGAATAAATAGGGTATGGTACTATGGCTACCAAGATATACAGTACAGTAAAGTCTCCGATAACAACGGTTCGACCAACAACTTTTCACATTTAAAACCCTAGTTAATTTAGGACCAAATTCAATTTACGTCCGTACTTCATTCGTATTTACGACCAAAATGTAATAATAAAAATACAATAAAATTACATTTCCATATAAATAATAACTAAATCCCGATATGTTATATAAAAAATAAATAAATAAATAAAAAAATTACTGTAAAAAAATTAAGAGCGCCTGGCGCAAAGAAGCTGCCTTGCTAATGAGTGGTAAACAACAGTCGGAGCTTGGCGGGCCCTTTATTTTCACGTATTTGGAACAGGAACTGGTGAAAAACTTTCTCAGGTTTCTTCCAGCATTTTTGCATCCCTATTCAACATGAGCAAGAGAGCAAGTGATGGTAGTGTTGTTTCAAAAGCAAATAGAAAGTGTATAAGCTTAGCTGAGAAACTAGATGTGTTAAAATGACATGAAAAAGGTGAGAGGTCTGTGGATATTATATGGAGCAGGCAATGAACATATTTTCTGAAGTGGATCCATTAACATGACACAGCATTAAAATTTAAATAAATGCAAATGACCTCTACATAAGCAGCTTCAACATCAGGTTCAGTAACAGCTTTATGGAAAGTTACAGCTTCAGCCAGAGTTGAACCTGATGACTTTGTCATTTGAGTAAAAACTCGCACAATATTCATTGGCTGTCCTTATGTTTTAGACTTTACCACCATTGGTGAGTAGAATTTTTGTTTTACATTCGTAAATATTATTTAAAACATATATGAACAGTAAATAAGTGTTGCTTTCATATTCATGTGTAGAGAAATGACGATATGTTTTCACATGTACGCACTTACTGTTCATTCGTTGGCGTTCCCAATCGTCTCGCTTTATTTCTTTACCATTAGTGGTTAGCTACTTCTAGTGTTCCATTTATTAACATTACTTAAAACATACATACAGGAATTCAATTTTTTTTAAATTAAGTTCACTACAGCTACAACCAAGGCCTAATTTTCTTCAGTTTCTTATGTAGAACCACTGTCACTCACAAAAACAATGCCGTCTTGTCTCCTCGTGCGTGTTTTAATATTCTACGTATTATTAATGAATTGCATTGTTCATTTCACATATATAAACATTAATTCAATCAAATACAGTGACCCCTCGGTTAACGAACTCAATCTGTTCCAGAAGGTCGTTCGTTAACCGAAATTTCGTTAACCGAGGCGTTCGTTAAACGAGGGGTCACTGTACATAGTCAGTAAAAAACAATAGTGAATCTTTTGTACATACAGTGGTCCCTCGGTTAACGAACACAATCCGTTCCAGCAGGTTGTTCGTTAACCGAAAAATTCGTTAACCGAAACCATTGTTTCAATGGGTTTTTGGGTAATTGGTTCCAGCTCACCGAAAATTGCCTAAATTCAACAAAAATGGTAGAAAAGTTCACTTACTTTGAGGAGTGTATGTAGAAGGCTCCTGGATGATGATGATGATGATGATGATGGGAATTAGAATGGGGGTGGAGGAGAAGGAAGAAGAGAAGGCATTGGGGTGGAAGAGAAGTCACCCCATGGCACCATATCACCCAAAAAATTTTACTTCTCTTGGTGTATTTCAAGATTATTTTCTTTAAATCAACACTGCACTGCATTATATATTGTCAATATGTAAAATATATTTCAAAATGACCAATAATTTGCTTGGAAACACAGAAAAAAAGCATTTAGTTGAAGAGAGTCTCAAGCAAGATGTTACCTCCAGTGAAAACAGAGAGAGACTAATGCCTGATTGCTGTGTTAAGAGGCTGGATGCCGCGCATTAAACTAGTCACTTTACCTTCAATTATGTTCAATAATTGTTAAAATGACTAAAAAATTGAATATTAAACTTTTAAAAGTATTGAATAGTATAAACTTCTTGATATTTACTAAAATAGTAAGGAATTTAAACCCTAGAACCGATTAATGTATTGGCGGACTAATACTAAAGCTGGTTGACCGGCCAGTGCAAGCGAAAACATGTTGAAGTCGGTTCATAAGAAATTCGTTAACTGAATTTTTGTTCGTTAACCGAATTTAAGAATCTTATGGGAGGCAGTTCGTTAACCTTAATTTCGTTAACCGAGGCGTTCGTTAACCGAGGGACCACTGTATTCTTAAAAATATAAATGACGCGGTACCCTTAAACGCGCACATATATGTTGGCGTTCCCAATCCATCTCTTTTTTTTCTTTGCCATTAGTGGTTAGCTACTTCTATTGTTCCATTTATTAACATTAAATAATGTTACTTTAAACATATAGTACAGTATATTAATTTTTTTGCACTAATTTTACTACAGCTACAACCAGGGTCTTATTTTCTTCATTTTCTCGCATAGAACTATCGTCCCGGACTCCCGACTGTAAACACAAATGAAAACAATGGCGTCCTATCTCCTCGTGTGACCATATTATTATTCATTTACTATATTGTATAGGTGCATTCAGAAACATTATTTAAATGATATAGTTTGCAATTTTCATTAATTGTATTGTTTTGGGGGGAAAAGAAGGCAAAAAGCCACACAAAAGATATGAAAAGGTCACACTTGGGAAAGCATCTCATTATTAATGCTTTATTTTAATGGTAATCAATGATTCGCGATACGATGAATCACCTTACACTGCAATATTGGAGGACACATTAACGTCGTTATTCAAGGCTTTACTGTATACCTGTATATGTTACGTTCTTTTAGCAAAATCGGTTATTTTCCAAAATTCCCAGCACGCATATTGGTAATTTTGCGAAATAACTTAGAAACAGACAACCTAAAGTAACCTAACCTTATGGTTAGGTTAGGATGGCTCGTGTAGACTAACCAAAGTAAAAAAAAAAAGAACAGGACCACTTAACTATGTATCAATCTACACGAGCCATCCTAACCTAGCCTAACCTCTCACTTAACAAAACCATAGGGTTAGGTTACTTTAGGTTGTCTGTTTGCAAGTTATTTTTCCGGTGCCCAGAAAATTCCAGGGATAGGGGATATTTTTCCAGGTCCAATTTCATCTTTCATACCCGGAAAACACTCCCATCATCCCTGGTATTTCCCGGGTATTGGGAAAACTTTCTCAGAATTTTCCGGAAAATGTACCCCTCGGAAAATTTTAATTCCAGCTATCGGAGAGTTCCGGGTTAGAGACATTCCGGTTAACGGGGATATTACTGTACTTTCCGGGTTTGAGAGATGATGTAAAAGGCAATTTGTAGACCTTCCGAGAAATTTTTCCGTTACCAAGAAAATTCCGCAGATGAGGGATTTTTTCCGGCTTTGAGAGAGTTGTTTCGTTACCCAGAAATCTCTCATTCCTGGAAGTGCTATGCACCAATTGTTCCGGCTAATGGATATATCACTATTATTTTAGAAAAAACTATGGCTACAGGACGAAAATACAAATGTTTTTTCTTAAATATTCCCAGCTAAAATGAAAGGGGGAGGTTCTTATATGTCATAAATTATGGCAAATATAAAAACCATTGCTAACCCATGTGTTTTGTTTGTCTTGGACAAGTACAATACTGTACAACTGTACCAGAGGCTACATAAAGTACACACACACATGTATTCCCTCCAGAATATTTTATTTAAAAAACAATTATTATCAACGTTTATACCCATATTTCAGGCTTGCATGGGTTAGCCGTGACTACCTGATGGTAGCTGTTGGGTAAAATAAGAATGGGATGTTGAACAAAACCAGACTGTGAATACATGATACAGAAATAAAAGGATCAGTTATTACCTGGTTGGATTTCTCCATAATCTCCACTAGTTTGCCAGCAATTCTCCAGTCTTCTCGTGTGACCAGCGTAAAGGCTTTACCTTTACGTCCAGCACGGCCTGTGCGTCCAACACGATGGACATATTCCTCCATGTCTCTTGGACAGTCATAGTTCAAAATATTTCTATAGAATACCATAAAACATGCACAGTTAACAAAATGGATCACCATTAGTAAAAAAAATCACATTTTGGCAATATATTTTGATGTAGGAAAACATGACGAGTTTCAGATAAAATGGTTCATCTTACATAATGCATATGCTGAGAATGGGTTCCACTACCTACCTACTCATCTCATGTATTACAATTTCTAACATCTGCAAGTTACTCTAATAAATTTCTTCAACCAACAAAATTAGATATAAAAAACTATTTCACAAGGGTGCGTAATCTTACAGGCAGAAATAATTTGTATAAAATGTGGTGGACTGATTGGTGTCTAAACATCATCATGACCCATTTTTGCAGCCATTTTCCACACTTGTGTGGGTAAGCTATGATTACCAAATAGTATATGGTGTCTCAGTTGCCATCAGACAAATTTGAAGCAAGATTTACAGTTGCAAGCCCTTTATATCACCAACATATTTTTATAGAGTGGGTATTATGCATTACAGGGGGATCTCGTTAAACGAGTATTCTTTATACGAGAATTTGATGATACGAGGTTAAGGAATGATACAAGAAGCTAGTACAGTGACCAATGCGGTTAGTTATGCTACAGACTTTTTCCTGTGAAAAAGCCATAATTTTCAGCAACATATTACTGTACTCACTTTGTACTCAAATGTACTAGACTAAAGGACTAAAATTTTTATCTCTTGTGTAAACTATGTGGTTTATGCTCAAATTATTTGCTATCTTGCAAGGATTCCAACAATGTAAGTTTAGTCAGCAACGTTTTATAAGATAAAAACTTTAAGCCTAAAACTACCTTTACCCTGGCTGGGAGGATGGGTGAGGTGTTGATAGCCAGGCGGCGATTATTACCTAGTGCGTATTTATGTCATACAGAGGGAGTTTAAGTTTTTTGCTTATAAAATGTCACTGAATTTACTTGGCAGAATATAACTTACATTACTGGAATTCTTGTAAGACAGTGATTAATTTGAGTACAAACAACCCATAGTTTGCACTAGACATAGAAATTTTAGTAATTAACTTAGTACATTTGAGGTTACGTATATCTACCCAAAAATACAAGTTGAAAAACAACCATAACACCTCACAGCTTGGCCCAGTAGCCTGCATAGAGACGTGTTTGTGAGCCACTCAGCCGGCAACACACCCCTACCCTACCGCCCTTCCCCCACCCAGATGCGCAGAGACAAGTTTGTGAGCGACTCAACCAGGCCACGCACCCCTCCCCTACATCCCTACCGTCCTCTCCTCAGCCACCCTCTCCCTTTTACAGTGTTTGAATCTGCTACTCCAGTTTGTCCACTTGTACCGAATAGCATTTATTTACTGTCATCGTTATACTCAGTGCTCGGGAACGCATCCCTATTTAACCCATGTATTATTCCCTCCATTATACGAGTTTTCGCTATACGAGCAGACTCCAAGAAACGTTTCTACTTGTATCATCGAGATTTTACTGTATATGTACCACTTCCAAGTGCCCTCTTAGTTGGAAGCAGAGTAGCAACTCCCTAAAGCAAACAAAGATAATCTGCAACCTAAAAAAAAATGATAGTACAACTAGGAGTAGAACATGCATCATACATGTTTGACAATGGGCATATCAATCACTGAGCAAAAGAGGAAATAGTAATGAGGAAGTGAGACTGGCTGAAAGCTAAAATAAAAAAAAAGGGGGCAAGGTACTAAGAGTGGAAGGAATCACAATTGAAATTTTAACCCTTAGGCCCCGGGTGACGTTCCAGAACATCCGCCTATTCCCGCCACTGTTTAAATGCCCAGCGCAGGTTATCAGGTTCCAGTGTGACTATTTGCCTGTCACACAACATGCTCGGCCACAGGGAAGCTTTCTGAACATAATTACCTACTTTTGTTTGTTTCATTTTCATTGTTTGTCCATTTTATCATGTTGTATCAAAGTAATATTGCTAAAAGTAATGTACAGTGAGGTATGCTATAACGAATGGATCCTACTACTAATATTCCCATAACGAACGGTTTTACCAATAAAATTGAGAATGCTATAACGAACGAAACTCCTACAACGAACATCATTTAAAAAATTTTTTTTTTTTTTTTTTTTACTAATTTATTGTTTTTTTATTACAAGTATTAATGATATTCTTTATTTCAGGGGTTTAGATGCATATTTATGCACTTTTTTACAATTTTTACAATTTTATATTATATTTTTCAGTGTTAAGTGGTTGTATTTGGGGGCCTGGAACGGATTAATCCTATAACGAACGAATGCTATAACGAACAAGGTTCTAGAACCAATTAGATTCGTTATAGCATACCCCACTGTAGTTGTATTGTAGTGTATAATTACTGAAGAATAATGCTGTGATTATGTTAAAAATGTGTTTATTTGTGGAATTATTATTATTTTAGGCATTACTTGCTCTACCAAACAGGCAGACTGGCAACCGACTGGTGAGTGTTGCCAAGCACTTTTTATGAAAATAATGCAAATAAATATTCTATATGAATTATTTATAGGAAGTAATTATTAAGATCAGTGAATATAAGTATTATTGGCCACCTCGGACACAAAGGCAAGCTAAAAATAGCTGCTAAGTGCGTAAGGACCATGAGTATCAGCTGTCAAACCAACACTGTCTCCTTATCTCCCCTCTCCTCCCTCTCTCTGCACGGCCAGGGAAGTCTCTAGAGGGTCAATATATAGATTTTCGTACTTACTTTTTATTGTTTTATCATTTTAAAAGGTTAAAAATTACTTTTGACTTTTGGAAAAGTTGAATTTTCTCCATTAACCCCTGGATGTGGGGTATTGCCAGCAGCACCCTAACCGGGGCAGAATGGAGAGTGAAAGAATAACAACAATATAGTCTATGCATGACAAGCGGAAGGTGAATAAAGGAAAAGCACATCCAAGAAAATATGCACGTGTGCATGTGCAACGTGCATGGCGTCAGATTTTGGGGAAGGATTTGGGACTGAAGAATAATGTTGGCTTGTGTGAAGAAATGGGAATATCATATAGATATTTGGCCTCTTGTTGTAGAAGAGGAGTAGTATAGCAGAACATCAAATACAACAGTAAAAATAAATGACTACAAATAAATGGATAAATGTGTGAGTGTATTTGCTCTAGATTTTGGCTGCTCAAGATAAGAGGCGAAATGTGCAATCAAATAATAATAATATTATAATAAGTAATAATAATAATAATAATAAATAACAGCAATAATAAAAAAATAATAATAATAAATAATAAAATAATAAATATTAACATTAAAGAGTAAATAATAATAATAAATACAGTGGAGTTTTGATTATTTGTGGGTTAGTTATCAGAAGACATGGTAAATTATATCGCAAATTATAGTTTAAATGACTTCAATAGAAATACTGTAATTAGTTGGTAACCGAGGCCAAAAAATACCTATACCCTGTAAACTGTTTCAAAACTGCTTTAATAAACACTAAACACTGTACATAATAAAGTACACAAAGAAAATAAAAATACAGTAACACAGATATTGTACAAAAAGTAGTTATGCATTACACCAATACGCCCACATCCAGGGCTGGTTTTGACCGCTTTATATCAACAAAGAACCGGGAATTTAATACCACACAATAACTCATCTGGGGTCGAGTTTGGAATTTTTTTGCGTGAAAATTTATTACTTTAAGATAATGTTTTATTAACCCAAATGAGCCTAAATAATAAAGGATTTATGGGAATATTGCAAAATGTTGTGAACACTGTACACAATGGGCAGATGATAGTGTGGTAGTAAAGAAAGCATGATTCAGAGATGGAGCTTTATTCCAGACGTTTCATCACAAGATTTTGAAAAGGTCTTGTGATGAAACGTCAGAAATAAAGCTCCATCTCTGAGCACATTTCCTTAACTACGATACTAGAATAATTTGTTATTAATGACATTGAAGGGGATCACTTGATTCAGGAATAAGGGGGAACACTCAGTTCACCACCCAACCTCTCTGCCTCCAACAAATTATTCACTTTCTACTTTTCATTTTTCTTATTGTATAGTTTTATATTATATTTTCTTTATTTCTCAGTGAAATTAAATCAATAAAATTAATTTTCTCAATTTTTTGCCTTTTATGTAAATAAACAACGTGGCAGCTGGTGCTCGGCCACAAATTGCGAATGTTTGACAGCATAATTTAAAACAGAGGAAGTAATAGAGGTACCCCAAAATTTAAGAACAATCATCTGTAATATGCGTATTATCGAGACTCCACAGTAATGTACTTACGTCACATCTGTGATGTCAATTCCTCGTGCAGCAACATCAGTAGCAATGAGGACTCTGATTTTTCCAGTTTTTAAGTCGTTCAGTGCCTGCTCTCGGTCATGCTGATCTCTATCACCATGCATACTTTGAACCTGGGGGGAACAATATCATATGCTGCTTTGTTAAAAGATGCAGAAATAAAAATTAATACCCGGTACTACAGTATACTTAAAAATTTGTCAAACTATTTTTTCAAAACCATATTCTGAATTCATAATGTGATTAAATTCATAATCACCAAGTTTGTAGTCCAATGGATCTGTCAAGCCATATGAATTGATTTTCAATGCCAACTCGCATTTAACTGAGCAGCCTTTTAACCATTTAGAGGGCAAAGTATCCCTTAGGTATTATATTCTGGCTAACACCAGATGATTTTATTCAGCTGAGGGAAGTCCCTGCCCACAGAAAAGCTAATGCATTAATTCTATGTACAGTATTATCTCGATTTAATGAACGAATTCGAGCAACCCCTTTCTGTTAAATCAAAATTTCTGCTAAATCGAATTTCCATTATTTTCACTAGATTTACCGAACTATTTCACTAAATCGAGCATGATTTTGTTAAATTATGCACCAAACGTGCCACACATCGTTTGGCGCATCGCTCAGTTTGTGTCCTGCTGCCACTGTGTGACCACTTTCATCTTTATTCAAGACATTTTCAGAGGCAACTGAATTTACAGGGACTGAGAGAGGCTTATATACGAGTGACCTTACATAACATCAGGTCAGGTCAATAGCATGGGATGTACTAATCCACACACCACCTCCACTGCAAATGAAAGAAGAGCTTATAAAAAATGGGTGACAACAACAGGTCAGGTCAGGTCAAAAATATGAGACCCACTAATCATCTACCTTACATCCATCTCAAATGCTTTCCAAGCATTTTTAACCTTAGGCCAGTTATTATTCATTAATTAATACCCCAACACCACACACATAACATCTAGAGTTTAAAGTTTTTTGTGTGTGAGACACTGAGTTAGGGGGAAGGGGGAGGCAGGGGGCAGGGAAGGGGATTGGAGGGAGGGAGGGGGGAAGGGTTTGAGCAGGGAGGGAGGCTGGCTGGTGTAGTTTTATCAATGACAGTATAAAATATTAAACACTACCAGTATAGAATTTTTTTTTTATACAATTTGACATCAAAAATACATGACAAGCTTGGTAGGCTTACACATGTCCTGTACGCGATCTCTCTCTCTTTCTCATGTAGATCCACAATGTTGTGGAAAAATCATTAAAATTATCACATGTACTCAAATGTACTACATTTAATTCCTAAAAAGCCATAATTTTTTACTGTACTCAAATGTACTACGGTAAAGAAATATAATTTTTACCTCTAGTGCAAACTATGGGATGTTCATACACAAATTAATTGCTATCTTACAAGAATTCTAGCAATGCAAGTTATAAGTGAGTTCTGCTATAACGCGTGTTTTGATAACGCGAATTTGCTCTAACGCGATTTATGAATTAGGAACGATATTTGTATAACGCGAACGCTTGTTTGCTATAACGCGATTTTTGTTTACTATTTCTCCAATTTTGTGGTACAGTGGGGTATGCTATAACGAATCTAATTGGTTCTAGAACCTTGTTCGTTATAGCATTCATTCGTTATAGGATTAATCCGTTCCAGGCCCCCAAATACAACCACTTAACACTGAAAAATATAATATAAAATTGTAAAAATTGTAAAAAAGTGCATAAATATGCATCTAAACCCCTGAAATAAAGAATATCATTAATATTTGTAATAAAAAAACAATAAATTAGAAAAAAAAAAAATTTAAATAATGTGAATATAGTAAAGAAGAATATCAACAAGAAGCGTTCTGGTGATAGAATTCCCGGTGATGATCGTAAAAGAAAGGATATAACACTTGAAGAGAAGCTCGATTTTATCAACCTCAAAATCACCCTTCTCCCCCATCAAGTAAAGTGTAACATTTACTGTATGATTTCATTATTAGATATGAATGTAACATTTATTTAGACTGTGCTATCCTTTGTGTTAGGCTAACTACTAAATTTTTTCGATTTCGAGTATCTGCACCTAACCCTATTTTCTCCATAAGCCCTGTTATTTCTATTACGCGATTTTCTATAACACTATATTTTACAAGAACACAATTATCGCGTTATAGCAGAACTACCTGTACTGCTAAGTCAAGTCAGTGAAATTTATAAGCAAAAAACTTACTGTATTGTACAAATATACTGTATTCCTCATAGCTACAAACTTGATACTCTACCTGCCTGACTGCCAACACCTCACCTCCCTCCCAGCCAGAAGGCAATAAGGAGTTTGAGGGTGAAGTTGGTTTTAGGCTTAATTTTTTCTCAAAATGTCACTGACTTGACTTTCGATTCTCTCTCTCGAGTGTCTGGGTGAAAAAATTGCCTTATTATTCGGCTTGTCGTGTACTATTATGTAAAATTATGTAAAATATTTTTTCGAGTGTTTAATATTTTATATTATCAATGATAAAACATACACCAGCCAGCCTCCCTCCCTCCCTCCTTGCCCCCTGCCTCTAACTCAGTGTGTCTCTCACACAAAAGACTTAAACTCTAGATGATGTGTGTGTGTGCCATGTTGGGGTATTAATTAATGAATAATAACTGGCCTAAGGTTTTATATGTTACTGGTAACAGTTTCCTCAATACGCTAACCCCTGCTAAAATGGGGTGTGATTCTTACATGGTGTTTTTAATATAATTATTTATAATTTTTATACATTTAGTACATTCGCCTAAGGCTGAAGTAGGTTTTACTGTATCATGTATCATGTGTCTGAGGTGTCTGTGTATTAACGAAATTTATCTTGATTTAGAAAATTAGATCACCAAATCGAGCAAAAAATAATGGAAAAAATCCTTCCGTTAAATCAAGAATTCATTATATCGGTTTCCATTAAATCGAGAGTACATGTATACTGTACTGTATAAACAATCACAATATGCACACAATTTGGCAGAGTAAATCCTAATTCTGGCAATGTTACTCATACTTCAAATAATTTTCACTAATTACAGATCTTCAATAACAAAATTCCAATTAAACTAACATCAATATGTTAATATATTACACACATGCACACAAATGTATATGGCCACTAAATAGTATTTTTCACCTTTTTCAGAAATACTGTACTGTAGTCCCTCGCATCTTATTCCTACACCTATTTCAGTTTAACTCACAAAAGCACAATCTTGTTCCTACAATTGTTTCCCTTCACCTCAAATGTACAATATCCAAACTGTCCCTCCCACAATCACTCTCTGCATGTAATTTTTTTAACTGTCAATAAATAAGTAATCTATATAAACTAAAGTTTGTGAGAAATAGTAGGATAATCATATACACAATGGAAGAGCAGTGAGAAGGTACATCATATTTACAGTATGAGGCATCCAGAAATAAAGTGACCCACCTCCAAATTCTGTTTTGTTTTGGTCATATCAGAATCTCCCTGTCCTGCTTTGTCACTTTTCCACCTGAAATGCGCTTTGTTTATAAACGTATGAATGCATGCAGCTGAAGTTTAAATCCAGGCAAAACACTGGGAGTAAAGAGACAAAGCCACATGCTCCATTCAGAGCCCCAGCCTGCCTATGGTCATGTGACTGTATGCGGTCAATCAGCAGCCACCCTGACCTCAGTACCCGAGTATATAGTCTTCCCACTCCAACCACGGGGGTTTCGTTCCTGAAAACCTCGTGGTTGGCAAAACTATGGTTGGAAAGGTTTGGGAAATAAGGTGTTAGATTACCAGACCCCAGAGACATAAATATCAATAACGAAAACATAAAAATAGCAAAAATGATACAAGTTATTGTACACACTGTATTACAATCTCCACTGATAATGACTGCCTGCTCTCAACACTTGTCTTAGCAATGCAGCTCAGCTAGAAAGCTGCCTGCCCTTAGCAATGGTGCTCTGCACCACATATCCCCCTGACCTCTCCACACAGCTACATGGTGGAAACCAATGGATATTGAAAACTTTGCACCTTCGTAAGAAAAACTAGTGACAATATATAAATAGTGGATTCCTTAAAACTGTGGTTGGGCAGGGATGACTGTACAGTACTAACTCTAGTGTTATGCTATTGTAAGTGTGCATCTACATTTTATTTTGTGTTTGGGAATGTTGGGAATTTAAATCCATGAAATAAAACTTCATCATTATACAATAATCAATATTATATAATGTACTACATTTGGGTATATCTGGTCAGGTTAAATGTTTTACATTTTACAGATAAAAGTTAAGACAAAAAGTACCCAAATTCCACATTGCATATTAAATTCCCATTTCAGACACACCAACCCCATGCAAATAGTTTAATTTGAACCTGAGTTTGGGTTATTTCAAGGTTAAAAAGCTTTCACTGCATTTTTCTCAAAACTATATTTATGCATTTTCATCACTTTACTTCCAGGTGCCTGATATGAACTGAGGAATAGACAAATTGGCTGATTCAAAAGACATTTGGTCCACTCCAAATTGATTCTGGAACGAAATGTTCATTTTATGACAAATAAAACATGATTAACCGATTCTCCACTAATATCCAAACCCTTTTGTGTTCACTCCATCGATCATAAACACTACAGTTTTTCAGGATTGTTAAAAAGACCTTTATGAAATCTACTCTGGGACTTGTACCTAAATATGTACAAAAACCTGGATCTTCCTACATATAATATACTTACATACAATCCTTCTTCCATCATCTCCACAGTGAGGTAATCCACCATGGTTTTCCTCCCAACGAAAACGATAGCTTTGTCTTTTTTTGACAAACCGTTGATAAACTCCACCAACTGCATATAAAGAAAATAATTTTATAAGAATATTCACCATTTATCATATGTAAATGTCTTATTATATTCCAGACTAAATGCAGTGCAATGCAAACATATGCCAATTTCTAAAATTTTAACCTACAACAGACAGGAAATCTATTGATTCAGTGTCTAAACCCACAATTGTAATTTCCCACTAGAGAAGCTAGACCTCCCCAAACTTCAATTATATTACTTAAGTGTCCACTTTAGTATATTCTGTGATTAATTATGTTTCACATCCATGGTAAAAATTGGCAAATAAAAATAATAATAGCATTATCACTTTCCTAAGCCATACTGCAGTGTCACTGAGTCCTAAGAGATAAATAATGAAAAACAAATACTTCCATGTTTGTCATATATATATATATATATATATATATATATATATATATATATATATATATATATATATATATATATATATATATATATATATATATATATATATATATATATATATATATATATATATACAGGTTGTACTTTCTAGTTCCGCGGGGTTGGTCCGGAAATCCCGTTAAGTCCGATATAGTCCACTTTTTGATTTTCAGTTTTTTTTTTTATCTGATTATTATTATTATTACAGGAGTATTAAATTTTTGCCCCTCAGGCCCCAATGTGGGTCAGTGACCTATGCCCGGGTGGGCTAATCCCCTTAAAAAAAAAAAGCCGCGGGAAATTAAGGTTTGTTTACATCCGGCAGCTCTCTCTCTCTCTGCTTGTCTATACAGAGTACAACATTTAACCATATTCATTTTTTACATTAATTTTACTACAGCTAAACTCAGGGTCTTATTTTCTTCAGTTTTATATGTAGAACCAATCAGTCACTGGTTTCGTAAGCTTTAACATAAACAATGCCGGCAGCGGTCTCGTCTCGTCTCTAATATTCCACGTATTATTAATAAATTGTATTGTTAATTTTGCACACACGTACATTAATTCAATAAAAACAAATTCAGAAACATTAATTAAAATATATATGAACAGTAAATAAGTGTTGCTTTCATATTCTTATGTAAAGTAATGATGATATGTTTTCACGTGTGCGCATGCGCACTTACATATGCGATCTCTCTTTTTCTTTACCATTATCGTTAGCTACTTCTATTGTTCCATTTATTAACATTAAATAACATTACTTAAAACAACCATATTAATTTTACTACAGCTACAACCAAGGTCTTATTTTCTTCAGTTTTATATGTAGAACCAGTCAGTCACTGGTTTTGTAATCAACGAAAACAATGCTGTGTCATTTCCTCATGTGTTTTAATTTTCTACGTATTATTAATGAATTGTATTGCTCATTTTGCACATATAAACATTAATTCAATAAAAAAGACATTCAGTAATAAACAATAATGAATCTTTTGTACATAAGAGAAATGACGCTGTTTACACGATTATGCACGTCGTCTGCACGTTGGCGGGCCGTTCAAACCCGTCGAAATTCAAGTTTCCGCCGTCAAAATTTTTATTTATTTATTTTTTGTGTGTTCCAATAAAATACGTTAAGAATTAAAAACTCGCAAAATTTGAGAAGCTACTATACGACATTTAACCCTTCAATATGTCTTCAAAGAGACCATGACGCAGAGAAAGTGGTGCTAGTGCTTCCAGGCATAAGCACAAGTCACTATCTATCCAGGAAAAGGGGATTCCATGTCCGCACGTCAGGTCCCGGACTAGAGAGGTCATATATATATATATATATATATATATATATATATATATATATATATATATATATATATATATATGTATATATATATATATATATATATATGTATATGTATGTATGTATGTATGTATGTATGTATGTATGTGTGTATGTATGTATATATATATATATATATATATATATATATATATATATATATATATATATATATATATATATATATATATATATATATATATATATATATATATATATATATATATATATATATATATATATATATATTTTCTGAAGTCAAAATAATCTCATATTGGAAACTACATAAGAGCAACAAATCCAATTTAAAAGCTGATTACAGTGTATGCTACTGCCACTGAACAGAATACCTGCATACCTTAAATATCTGCTTACCTTATCTCTCTTGTCGTTCTCACTACACATGATTACAGATTGGGTAACTGTGTGCACAGCCTGTAGATCCAAAGACCCTACAACAACACGAATGGGAGTCCTCAAAAGCTTGCTGGCCAAGTCTCGAACGCCCTCGGGCCATGTTGCACTTGAAAATAAATTATATTATTGACTTAAGTATGGAAGAAACATACTGCAGCTTGAAAGGGAAGTAATTTTCAACTGGACTGCAAAAGCCTCTGTAAACAAATTTTCTTTGCAATTATCAGATTTTATTCCTACTGAATTTTAAGTAACCTGTTTATTGTACCTCCTACAATATAGGCAATAGCCATTGAGGTTTAAAAAAAAAAGTATTACTGTACCAGTAAACCCTTGTTATTAGAGGGGGATAGGTTCCAAGGAATGGCATGAATAGGCAAAACCGCGAATAGCAACTTGTACTATTTTAGCGCAATACTGTATTCCTACACCAAACAACTGACCAGCTGCAGCAGCACTCATCCCCCTTATTAACTTATCAAACAATTCAACTTTCTTTGTCAGGGTCATCACTGACTTCTGCCTTTTACATTTCACTCCACTAGCATCACTAGCACTGACACTAAGGCAGTCTTTTAGGGGCCAATTCACACAGAAACACCAAAGTTTTGATAGTCCAACACAAGATGCTGCATGAGGTGACGCGTGTGAGGGAAAAGGCTCACAAGCTAGCCACCATAGCCAACATCTGCTTACAGCAAATCGTCTAAATCGCGAATCACAAACCCGCGAATGGCAAGGGTCTACTGTAATACAAACAATTTAACGAAGAAAATATCCTAAAAATGCATAACTGCAACTCAATCTCTCTCCTTATTGCCAAAATGTCCATTATCTGGTCCGAAATTATGGAAAAAATTTAAAATTGGGGGTAAGGAGCTGTAAACTGTCTGATCTCCACTATATTGTAGTTACTAATTTGGTAGCCATCCATAAGCCTATGCAAGAGAATACAGGCAGTGCTTAATTTATTTATCCAAATTAATGGACTAGAGTAGAGGTGCACTGGCTAGCCATACTTTTAATTTTTACTTTTGCCCTCTTCGCCACTGATTGGCTCGTTAGCTCATGAAGCGGTCAGTCACGTCTCTGTTACACACTGTTGGCAATTGCCGTACTGGGCATGCACTGGCTCCTGAATGTATCTGAAACTGCTTCAGTATTGGTCAAGTTTGGTCTTGAAAGAGCTTCTTACACTCTATGGCCGATTGTCCAAGACAAAAGGAGACTGATTCATATAAATTATAAAATTAATATACTTAGACACTGATGTTTCAAAGCAGACAATACCATCCTTGTAGAGTGACAAACTTCCACACATTGTAGTGAATGTACAGCAGTATTTCACCTCGAAGAGGCAACAGTCAAGATTGTTTTTCTTCATACACATCACTACGTGTCACACGTTATGCAATTCTGAGATTGCATCATCATATCTTGGAATATTGCAAGTTAATGCACATAACTTTTTCATAACAGTGCCAATGCAGGAAAAGCATTCAGGAAGTGACCATCATAAAACAGATCATTAATCATCGCATCGCGGTAAATGATAATTTTTTAACATCGTAAAACTGATTGAGCATCTACTTGTATAGATCCACTGTATAACGGTCATTGCCTGTATACCAAACAAAGTTTAGTATTGGAATTATTTTTCGGATTAATTTTATACCGATCTACTGCTCAGCAATAATTTTAGTACTGTATAGAAAGGTAATACTGTATCTACCTGAAATTAAGAGTTAAAAAAAGCCATAATACAGCATGCCCTTAAAATTCGCAGGGGGGTTGGGTCTCAAAATAGCCAATATTATTTGCTGACCTGGGGTGTGTTACATTTTTACTCGTGTGCAAAGAAATGTATATTTCCTATATGTGTTTGCCCTTCGGACAATTATTTCTTTTACTTGTACAGTCTCTCCTCGATACGTGACACAGGTGTCAATTCAATAAAATGTATACCCTTACTAAGGCAGAAAATTATAATAAAACATGTTTATATCCTTAGAACAACTGTATTTGCAATAACATTGCCGCACTGACAAGTATACTACGTGCTAGAACCATACTTCCACAGAAAATGGGCGGTATCTCAAAACTAAAGTTATCATTATTTGAAAGTGCACTGCTCCATTATTTTTCAACCAATATTTAAAAATGAAGATAGCTTTATAAAGAGGAATAAAAGGCCGATTTTGTTTTTATAAGTAAAATTTGTGATGTCTCGATTAAGTATGGAGTGTGAATTTTGTATTTTAAAATTTTCCGATATTTTTTGCCCCTATTTAGTGCTTGTTTGCCACAACAACGAAAACAGTTAGATCAAATGTTGGTAATAAAAAATGTAGGTGTGGATTTGATCATTACAGGGACCAATTTTCAAACATATATGATAGAAGATAAAGACGAAGTGAGATTATAGAAAAATAAATAAACTTTTGTAAAATTTCTTACTATAAATTTTCCCTCAAAATATATTTGATCAATCTGTCAAACTTACAGAATCTCTTAGTTAGGCAACCCAGCATAACACAAATTAAAATCAGGGAAGTCAGACAAAAATTAAATCACCTTACTTTGTAACAGGCGACAAACAACCTTAACAGTTTGATCAGGAGAAAAAAAATTGTGCTGTATTTTTCCAATAAAATCTGGGATATCTGGTGCACCAATAGAACAGACTAGGTAACTATTTTGCTGTTCCCTACTGGCCAATACATCAATCATTCCATTAAACCAACATACAGTATTTCAGTATACCTTTCCCCAAGTGGGTTCAGATAAGGAGGAAAATAACCAAAATCATGCATAAAGAAAATCCAATACAGAAGGAAAGCAGTGTACAGTACAGACAACTGCTTTCAAAACATCAGACTTTGATAAATTTTCTTACCTTGTCAGAACAGTTTGTCTATCAGGTTGGATATCCAACACAATCTTACGTATTTGTGGTTCAAATCCCATGTCTAACATGCGATCTGCTTCATCAAGGACTAGGTAGGACACACCACTTAGATCAATGATACCTGTAAGATTATAAGTACAGTATAGTGATTTGCAAAAGGTGAAACAACTGGTATTGCATCTCATTGTCACACTAGACTCCTCCAAGCCAAAGTAAAAGTAAATACACATTCATACTAAATGTAAAATCACAATGAGGTGTATCTCAATTTATTCAGCAATGTACAAGATACTTTAGTATTTTTTTTACTAGTCTATCTCTTGCTGTGTTACATAAAATAGGAGATTCCACATGTCTTATGCAAATCCCTGATTGTATAAAATCTGAGTCATTAAACATCACCCTGACTATGGATGTTTGTTTGAATACAAACTGCAGCTGAGAAAAAATGCCCCGCCCCCTCCTCAAGACTTACAGCCGAATGGCGACTTCAAATATGTCTGATTTCGTCCTGAGCGATATAACTTTTGTGTTTATTACATACTAGGACTTTAATTATACATAGAGAAAACAGTTACTTTTGTTAAAATTTAATAATTTGTATTGAAAAACTCACTCCATATAAACTTCAACACCATCTTTGATACATTTATCATTTCTAACAAAATATTATGACAAAAGTGTTAATTTTTGTACCTATAGTACCATACCCTATTTTCTTATGTTATTAAATTCAGTATTTGTGAATTCATGATTTATGACATTTCCAAGGACATAACCCTTGTGAATAAGGGGGAATAAGTGTATTCTCCAGTCCAAGTTGGTACAGGTATCCCTTGACTAGTGTTAATTCACCTAATATAAATTCAATTTAGGGATAAATAAATTTTTGACACCCTTACTCGCTTAACATTAGGTCAAAATTCGATTTAGCGACAGCTTGACTCACTGTGAAAGGGAATAAACTGAGGATGAGGTGGCCTGTGAGATGGCATGTTGTCAATGTTACAAGTAATGAAATTATAAAAGTTGTGGAAAAATCACTTCAATAAAAAAAATACAGTACTGTACAGTAAAATAAAAAACTATGAAATAAGAAAAAAGAAAAGCATGGGTGCGCATGTGTGGGAAGTGAATGTATGTGTGGAAGCAGTGAGATGTAACTGCTTCACCAACTCACCAGCCAAGCCCAGCCACGCTCTCCCTCCCCTGATGTGAAGTAACGGCTGTCAACCAGATGACTCCGAGACTTACGTACATAATAATAATAATAAACGGTTTATTAATAGAGTTGCAGCCGGTGGCTGAAAATATACAAACTTACATTTGATTTAGACATAATGATATGCATTGAATACATTTACAGGGCTGTACAGTACTTAAATCAGGAGTTGTTTATCATTTTAACAATAGATGGGATGGTGCTATTCGTATATCTATCAGTGTGGGCTATTATGGGCTGAATTTTGTTGTAGTGGCAGACTGCGAGAGGTGGGCGGGGGACTGCCGGTGGCAGGTGGCGGCGATGACTAGGATGGTGCAGTAGTCCACTGCCAAACCTTGCTAGTGCTTGGTGGTGGAGGTCACTGAGGGATGGCATTTCCAGGGTGGAGAGAGCGTTGATGTAGCCGGAGTAGTCTGCGCCGAGCAAGATTCTGCAGGCCCTTTTCTGTACCTTCTCTAGCTGACGTTGTTGGGTAGAGTTGAGAGAAGACGACCAGGCTGGTGACACATATGTTAGTTTGGGGAGAATAAAGGAGTTGTAGATAGTCCTCAGCTCTGGTGTGGGTGCCCCAAGTGACCTAAATCGTCGTAGCATGTAGAGTCGGTACGAGGCTGCCTTGATTGTATTGTTTACATGGGCCTTCCAGTCCAGTTTGTGGTCTATGGTAACACCCAGGAGTACATGCGTGCGTGCGTGTGCGTGTGTGTGTGTGTGTGTGTATACCGTGATGTCACACTGGGGGGAGAGACACGAGCGAGTCGGCAGTCCTCGGCAACGAAGTACAGCTTACTACAGTAAACCCCCATAAATCGGCATTAGATAACTTGGAATTTCATATAACTCGACATGGATGTGGTCTTGGGATATATTAGTATAACTCGGGAAAATCCAAGATAGGTAAAATTATCTGGGAAAGTCTTGACATATCTGGCCACCTGTATCACCTACCATGCCTGTGTCACCTACCATGCCTCTGTGTCACCTACCATGCATCTGTGTTACCTACTATGATGCTTCATTCTTCGCCTGCAATGCCGGTAAGTGTAACTTTTTTACATTTAGTAATTACATGTCCACATATGTGGGTCAAAGTATTAATAGTCAATAAAAAAGTCTTTTTTTTCCTAAAAACCAGTTTTTGTGATATAGCTCTGAATGCGATGTCAGCAACATATGTTACCTAGGTATGTTAATTCCTTGCTAATTCGCCAAAAACATCTGTACTGGGGGGGGGGGGTGAATTTCAGAATGAGCACTACGACTCTTGTTGTCTTGGTAGGGTTGTCAAAATCCTTCATTCTTTGTCATATTGTCTAACACAATTATGAAAGGATAGTTTTTTGATTGTACAGCTGTGACCAAAAAGAATTTGGCTGGCAGGGAGGGAGGGAGAGAGGTGATGCATGGGAGGGTAGGAATAGGTAGAGACTTAGCACAACTGCAAAGGCAAGAATTAAGTATGTGAATTTCTTTTCACACCACAAATTGGTTTTTTTCGTTTAATTATGAGGCAAGAGCACTTTACACTAATAATGTGCTGTAAATAACTGAACAAGTAACTACAAAAATGCAATAAAAATTGAATGTTTAAGGAGACCTTTCACAGCCACACTGATGCAACTCTGCCAAGTCTCTACCTACTCTCCTACCCTCCCATACACTAACTCCCTCCCTGCTGAACTCTTTTTGTCCACAACTGTACATCCAGTGACCAGACAGTACATCATCTGGTTTATGGGAAAGTAACAGCAGTAAGGATGAAAGGATGGAACCATATGACAAGTATTTCTATGTTTGCTCTTAGTTTTGACCACCCTGCTATTGTGGGAGAGATCCCACAGGACTGGCCGGCCCAACTCCCACGCAAAAAAATCAAGTTGCTTTTATCCAAAGCCAGTTGATGCACACATACTATATAACAAAATTTACAAACATTACTAAAAAAATTACCTTTCTCAGCAAATTCATTTAATCTCCCTGGAGTGGCAACAACAATTTCTGCCTTGGCATTAATTTTCCTTATCTGCTGAAGTTTGTCACCCTGACCATATACACACACACTGCAAAGATACAAATGATATCATTCTTTGTTTAAGTAAAGATATTTGCACTGAAAAAAAAAAATGTAATACAAGTGACTACAGTGCAGCATGCCCTGACAATTCGCAGACCTCGATTATTCATGGATGACACCCTAGATGTTCCCAAGAATGTCTAAGGGTAGTTCTAAAGTTGCTGGCATTTTCGCAGCCGGGACAGGGAGCCATTCATTCTAGAGACAGTAATTTCTTTTACCTATATTGTATATGTATGTGTGTGTGTGTGTGTGTGTGTGTAGCCTCACACACACAAAACAAAACACATACAAATAAATAATAATGGAACTCCAAAGCCTTTAGTATGTTTCAAAGCCTAGAAAAAAAAAATGGCTTCCATATGCCAAAGCCAGCTTCAGCCCCATGTTTGGCATATGTATTGGTATATGTATAGCATGTGTGTGATGGGTAATGTATGGGGTTGAATGCATCTGTACGGTGTGGGTGAAATGAATGAAATAAAGAGGACGATTTACAGCAGACCTATCTGGAGGTAAAAATATTGGAAGTGATGGTCCCATCTACTGTACATGCATGCATGCATAGTAAAATAAAAACATCAAAAGAAAGAAATTCACAGAGAATAATTCACAATTACTCAAAAAAGCAAGACATGGGTACAGAAGCAATTATTTTACCAAGGAGTTTTTAAGAAAGATTACCTAAGTAAGCAGTACAACACTGGTAAAACAGTAATACGGTGTCATGGGTTCGAGCCCTAGCTAATGGCAGACGTGGAAAGCGTGTTACCCCACATGACCCTATCAAAAATTTTAAATGCCTCACTATACTAACAGTGGACAATAAAGTTCAGAAAGTAAAACAGAACAGACCAACCACCCAGAAAGCTAGCAAGCTGATAAATGGTGAAACAGTAAATTATAATGAATCAATATGTCACATGTAAAGCACCTTTTATAAAAAATAATACACTAATACATAAAGTACAGATAATCCCTGCATCTCTACTTACCAATTTATATTTTCATACTGGTATTTGGACACCTCCTTTTCAATCTGCTGAGCCAATTCTCGAGTAGGTGCAACAACTAGGCAAGTTGGCCCTACACGATCCATCCTAGGGGTTGGCTGGGCAACAATGTGTAGCAACGCTGGCAAAAGAAAGGCCAATGTCTTTCCTGAAAGAGAAAATGCTATCAAACTGATTTCCACACAATATAATTTTCTTAAATTTAATGACATTTTAAGTACACTCATTGACTTTTTAAAACTAAAATTTTTTTTTTATTCTTGAAAGTACAACCTGACCTCACAAATTCGTGTCTCAGAAGTCCAGTTTTCCCCAAATCTGTACATTTTCATGAGCTTTACCCAATTACAGCGTTTAACGCTTGTCGGTACTGATTTAAGCTTAACAATAGGTCAAAATTCAGTTTAGTAATAAATTGACTCACTGGGAAGGGGGAAAACTAGGGATGAGGTGGCCTGTGAGATGGCTATGCATGTTGCCATTGTAACTTGTACTGGTAATGAAACTATAAAAGTTGTGGAAAAATCACTGGTTTTCATGCCAGAAGTACAGTAAAATGAAAACGAAGGATAATGTCGGCCCTCTTAAGGATGAAAACAACGTGGCCCTGGAGGATGACAAACAAACAGCTGAAACTTAAATGAATACTTTGCATCAGTATTTACATATGAGACAATGGATAGCATGCCAATTACAGATGATATCATCAAAAGGAAAGTAGCCAGCTTGAAAAAATTCAAAGCCCTTGGAGTACATGGAGCACAGACCAAGGTGATATAGGAAGTGGCAAACAAGATTTTCACCTCACTTAGATTATTATTCGGGAAATCCTTGCATCAAATTAAAGTGTGGACGGACTGGAAATTAGCCATCACCCCCCCCCCCCCAATATAAAATAAGGGTAGGAAAAGTGCAGCAGAAAACTACAGGCCTATCAGCCTAACATGCAAGCTCTTTGAGAAGATTCTGACAGATGCCATCATCCATCACCTGACTGAACACAGTCTTATCGACGCATCAAAACAGTTGTTTCCTGGAATGAAAATCCTCTCTGACATACTTAATCACATTCCTTGAATCGATTACAGAAAATGTGGACCAAGGCCCACCAGTAGATGTGTTGTTCATGGACTACTCCAAGGCGTTTGACAAGGTCCCACATGCACGACTAGCCTCTAAGATTCAGGCACATGGCATCACAGGTAATAAATGGAGTACATTCTGAATGGAAAAAGGTTCTTAATGGAGTACAGTTGCGGATATGTGTTCCTACACCCCGTGTCTCCAAATGGCAAATTATATGATCTATAGCATCCCCATCCACCTATCACATCTGTCTTTACATGACCAATACCAATTCATTCAAAAATATTAATATATTACCGCAATGGTGCCGTTTGGAGATACAGGTTTCCACAAAGGGTGTAGGAACACATTTCTACAACTGCACCACCTTGTTTTATGATCTACATAAACAACATAGATGAAAATATATCGAGTCACATACTCAAGTTTGTGGACGACATGAAAATATAAAGCGATATCTCCATTAGCCAGAACAATTGGTGCAGAAAACTTCCGGGAATGAGAGATTTCCGTAACGAGCCAACAACGCAAGACGACGCAGTATCGGATTTCCAGGACGTTAAACGAATTTTTGGTCTCTAAGTTTAGCGACGTAGTACAGAAATGACGTTAAGCAGGACGACATTAAGCGCAGACTTACTGTATCTGAACCTGTTCCAGTGTTGGTCAAGTCTGGTCTTGAAAGAGCTCACACTCCGTGCTATCGCAATATGCTCTGGCAGATTGTTCCAAGAGTTCACAATTCTCACTCCAAAAAAGTTTGCCCTCACAGTTTTCTGAACTTGTGGCTTCTTCAAACTTGAGCTGAGACCCTTTGCAGGGCAGGTATCTGCCAGCTCTAGGTATGGACACTTGACTGAGTAGTGTCCTCTTGAGATGTTTATGCACCTCAATTAGGTCACCCCTTGCCTATCTGTAGTATAAGCTAGGCAGTTTATATGACAGATAGGCAAGAGGCGACTTAATTGAGGTGTATAAACATCTCTCGGGCACTGCTCAGTGATGTTACGCACCACCTACACGAGAAGAACATAACTACAAGCTAGCAAAATTATCATGCAAAACAAATATAAGCAAAAAATTTTCACACAGAGGGTGGTAGAACTATGGAATGGTTTACCAGCCCAAGCCGTGGAATCAAGAACAGGACTGGGCTTCACAATAGCCTTTGACATAATTATCAAGAACAATAAAGGGATCCTACACATGACAATGGCCTCCTTACTTCTGCATGTCCACCTCTAGTGGGTAACCATTAGGTAAATAAGGTAAACACTCTAAGGTGGCCTAGAAATATATAAAATGTAAAACTAAAAATTAAGAAAAATGAAGAGTATGGGTGTGTATGTGTGGGAAGTGCACTTACGTGTGGAGGCAGTGGGCTGTAATTGCGTTGCCAGCCCAGCCACGCTCCCTCCCTTAGTGATGTCATGGCATACACTTATTGCAGTACAGCAGCAGCCACACTTCTCTGAGTCAACTGGGTGACTGCCAAGCTGAACTGTGTCACGTCACCCAGAGGATGGTTTGGGTGTGAAAAAGAGCTATTTTTTTACATAAAATATGTGACTGCATTTTATGACATGCTATGTATCAATTTTATTGTTTATCATAGTAATTTGGGCTTATTTATGACATATGCAATATGACATTTGTTCAAATTAGGCTAACTTTGTGATCACTAAATTGTTTATATAAAGTGGAATAAGTGTCAAAGAGCTGTCCAATAAATATTTAGGGTTTTTAGCAAATGATTAGCAAATTTTCCTATGTTTTTTAATGCTTATTCCACAAATCCATGCCCTTTGGAAATTCAGCCACAGTGGGATACCAATTAGCACAAACTTGCATTGTGCAAGGTGGCAGAGTCAAGAGCAACACACTCACCCTTTTTTGAGTGTAATTTTATCTCTCTACTAATGGTAACATATGTGTTTTACAATGGTGATCACACTGGAATCTTTTTAGTTACATTCAAGAACCCAAGCAAGCCCAATATATTTATCAATAGTATGCAACAGAGAACTGATAGACTGCTAGAAAAGCTAGTAAGCTAACAAGAGGATAAACAAAAACTCAAACTTGATCAACAAAATCAAGGAGTACAGGAACCCAACCTTGAAAATGACTAACTGGTTTTTACTTTTCCCTAAACTGCCTTTCTGTAATCATATATATGTAACTTGATCCATTCCCAGCTATATACAGTAGTCCCTTGCCAACCACAGGGTTAGGTTCCTTAAAAGCCCTGTGGTTAGCAAGACTAAAGGCTTATGGGATTAGGTTCCATGGCCATGGATAACACTCATCAAAGCCTAACTAAGTTGTCTGTTCCTTCTTTAAACAATATTTGAACAGTATTGTACATTTAATTCAATTTGAGTCAAATACATATAAATTAGATAAACACTTCTTACATCTGTGGGAGTTTGTCCACTATCGTGGAAGGAGGAGGGGAGCATGCTCCTGTCCCGTGTCCTGAGTGAAACGATTGCCAAATAACAATGTAGAGTAGAACGTCGATTTAAAGCAATTCAATTTAAGATCTTTTATTTAAAGCAACACCCACAATTAAGAACAATATTTTAATTTAAAGCAAATCTTTCCTATTTTGCACGAGTCAATCTGGTGCATCATATTTTAAAATTCGTGCCTAATGTTTCACTGGGTGCGCTACACTGTCCTAAGGGCAAAGCTGTACTGTACATGTATTCAAAATAATGTACTAAATGATTACTAAAATTTTTATCTAGTGCAAACTATAGCATGATTATATTCAAATTAACCACTATCTTATAAGAATTCCAGCAATATAAATTATATTCTTCCCGGTCACTTCTGTGACATTTTATAAAAAAAAAAAAAAAATCAATCTAAAGGACATAAATAAACAAATAAATACTTCACTAGACCTTCAGCGCCAACTGTCAAACATGTCACTGTCACCTCCCCTTCCTCCCTCCCCCCTCCCAGCCAGGGTTTGGTGGTTATACAGTAGGCTTAAGTTTTTATCTTATATAATATCACAGACTAAAGTTAGGAGAATATAATTTGCATTGCTGGTATCCTTGCAAGACAGCGAATAATTTGAATAAAAATGTCATATATTTTGCACAAAAGATAAAAAATTTGGGCATTTGTAATTAGAACTAAAATTTGTATGTCTAATGCCAACTATAGCATGATTATATTCAAATTAATCACCATCTTATAAGAATTCCAGCAATGTCAATTATATTCTCCTAGGCCAGTTCAGTGACATTTTATAAGAGAAAAACTTAGTCACTCTTAAGGACAGATAAATAAATAAGCACTAGACCTTGGTATCAACTCACCCCCCCCCACAATCTTCTGATCGCTAGCAAGCAGCCCATTTCACGTCCCATAATTTTAACTGTGTTGATTTATGAGTGTTTGTTTTAACATAATACAGTGGTCCCTCGGTTAACGAGCACAATCCGTTCGAGAAGGTTGCTCGTTAACCGAAACCATTGTTTCAATGGGTTTTTGGTTCCAGCTCACTGAAAATTGCCTAAATTCAACAAAAAAGGTAGAAAAGTACACTTACTTTGAGGTGTGTATGTAGAAGGCTCCTGGATGATGATGATGATGATGAGAATTAGAATGAGGGTGGAGGAGAAGGGAGAAGAGAAGTCACCCCATGGCGCCATTTCACCCATAAAATTTTAGTTCTCTTGGTGTAATTCAAGATTACTTTCTTTAAATCAACACTGCACTGCATTATATATTGTCAATATGTAAAATAAATTTGAAAATGACCAATAATTTGCTTGCAAACACAGAAAAAAAGCATTTAGTTGAAGAGAGTCTCAAGGAAGATGTTACCTCCACTGAAAAGACACAAAGACTGACGCCTGTATGCTGTGTTGGCAGGCTGGATGGCATGCCACAAACTAGTGACCCTACCTTCAATTATGTTCAATAATTGTTAAAATGACTAAAAAATTTAAAATTAAACGATTAAAATGATTGAATAGTATAAACTTCTTGATATTTATTAAAAGGGTAAGGAATTTAAGCCCTAGAACCGATTACTGTATTGGTGGACTAATACTACAGCTGGTGGACCGCCAAATGCAAGCTAAAACATTTGGAGGTCGGCTCGTAAGAAACTCGTTAATCGAGGGATTGCTCGTTAACCGAAGTTAAGAATCTTATGGAAGGTAACTTGTTAACCGAGGCGCTCGTTAACCGAGGGACCACTGTACTACAAAAAACAATGTTTTGTTATTCTAGGAGATGGGCTGAGGTGCATCTGGGTAGACTCTCAGTCTTTTTAGTATTTTGTGTTTCTCTCGAGTACCAAACTAAATTATTCCATTGAGACAACACTTCGATTTAGTGCGAATTCAGTTTAAAGCCACCTCGCTTGGAACGTATCTCTTTTCTTTGATTTATTAGTATTTTTATTTATTCCTCACATTTACAGAAGAACACACTAGACCGCAGAGGGATAAAGATGCCACGCTAATCCGTGGATACATAAAACTAAATGCCATGGTTGGTGAAATGGTAGATTGAAAATCATGGATACATGGAATCAGCGGATAGGAAATATGCAGTAGGCAAGTGTCTACTGTATTACCCAATTACACAAGGAATACATAAAACTTACCAGTGCCTGTTTGTGCAATGCCAATCATGTCATATCCCTGCAGTAAGACTGGCCATGACTGACTCTGTATAGGAGTTGGATCCGTAAAACCCTGTCGTTCTATTTCTGCCAACATTTTAGGATATGGTCCAAAAGCTTGCTTGAAGGTGACCACAGGATTTGGTATAATCTTATCAGACCCACCTTCATCAAAGTGTGCTGTCATCTTAAAGTTCTTCTCCCTGCAACATGAAAACTCAAATTACTGTACATAACTCATTGAAAGCCAATTTCCAGTGGATAACTGTTGTCTATACAGCTATCAATAGTCAGCATTGTTCAACTACTGACAATGAATAATTTTAATATTTGTACCAGATTTTAAATCTCCCACAAAAACATATTTAAAATGTTAAGTTGCTGAGGCCCTAGACCTCCAGCCTATATCCCACATTTCATGCAGTAGCTGGTATCAGGAACAGTCTCAAATTTTTAATGCACTATTCATTACCTCACTGCTATAGCATAACAATTGATTCTGCAATTAGGAGAGGGCAAATACCATTAATGATGGGAGCATCTGTGTTGTTCTTGACTACAGCCACCTTGTATTGACATACCAAGTTTTATGTTTAATTTTTTAGAATGAGAAAACATATTACCTTGCCCTGCTTCCAAAAGTCCCACTGACACTTCTGACAATCATTGATAAACTCTTTTAAGCAATATTAAAAAGAGCCAATAATTAGAACTACTATATGTACATTACAAGAATTTGGAACAGTTCTCATCAACAACATTTCATGGCCAGGATTAGCTGTGATTACCTGATGGCAACTCCTCAGTCTCTTGCAGCCTCTCTATGTTTGGAGATGGGTACCAACCAGAGCAAGATATCCACCCCAAGCCAAAGTACTGGTGCACTAGCAAACATGATGCTATAGTAAAACGAGTTAAATAACATTGGGATGATCCACCACAACAAGCTTCAGAGACACCCTTCCCTGCATAACATGGCATTGTAACTGACCATGGTATTAAGAGCTTGATGATGGAGCAGCGACTCAGGGCACTACATGAGTTTGGGGTCCTGTGCTATCAAACATAAATACTAGCTTGTAAACTGCTCATCCGCTACTCTGTTCAGGCAAAAACACCAACCCAGAAAAGGCAGCAGAGACCAGGGGAAAGACACAACTCCGATATCCCAGTTGCCATCAGGTAAATGTGAAACAGGTTTTATAACTCCATTAATTTAAAATACAATTAAAACTGATGACCAAGCATGAAAAATTATAACCCATTTAAATGATAAATGAAAGGAAGGTACAGCATGCCCTTAAAGTTGCTGGGGTTAGGTTCTCAAAATGGCCGTGAATAGCCAGATCCGCAAATAACATTTGCTGGCTAGGAGAGGGGGAGGGGAAACACTTTTACTCGTGTGCAAAGAAATGTATATTCCCTTTATGTGTTTGCCCTTTACAATTATTTCTTTTGCCTGTGTTGTTCTGTATATATTTGTGTGTGTGTCTACACACACACACCCATATATACAATACAGATAAAAGAAATTACTGTACTCTCTCTAGAACGAATGGCTCCCTGTCCCAGCTGAAAAAAAAGACTAACTTTAAAACTACCCTTAGACATTCTTGGGTACATACAGGGTGTCTTCTGCAAATAATTGAGGTCTGCAAAATGTCACGGAATGCTGTATATTAAATACCAGAACTACCACTATCCACACCTAGCCCTATGATCAGAACATATGGATACCTCTGAATAAAAATTCCCTAGATTTCAGGTAATTACACCAATGTTATTTACAATATATTATGACATCCCAAGCAATCCCACGATGCACTGAATATTGAGATAGGTTATATGTATAGCAAAGTACAATAGCATTATAAGAAATGGAAAGGGGGGAAGGGTGAGATACCAAGCCAAAGAATATAAGAGTGAGATGTGCTGAGGGATAAGACTGGAAATGCAAAGATGAGGTTGAGGGCAAAGTACAGTGGCCCCTCGGTTAACGAACTCAATCCGTTCCAGAAGGTCGTTCGTTAACCGAAACGTTCGTTAACCGAAACCATTGTTTCAATGGGTTTTTGGGTAATTGGTTCCAGCTCACCGAAAATTTCCTAACTTCAACAAAAATGGCGGAAAAATTTACTTACTTTGAGGTGTGTATGTAGAAGGCTCCTGGATGATGGTGATGATGTGCATTTGAAGTGGGAGGTGCAGGAGGAGAAGGGAGAAGAAAAGGAAGTGGAGGTGGAGGAGAAGCATTTTACTGCTTCTTGGAAGGTGAGTCACCTTCCATGAAAATGTCAGGAACCTCTGGACTGACAGATTCTCCACCATGAACATCCTCTCTCCTTCTTGAAGTGGAAGGCTGAGGGCTAGCATCTTGTTCCCTCTGCCTTTTACTGAAGAAAGTGTCAATTGTGGTCTGTGGGGCATCTGTCCTCCTCACCATTAACTTATGTTTAAAGAAGGAGACCACTGAGTCCTCAACATGACACAAAGTTAGTTCAGTTTTTTCCACTTCTGGGTGCTTTGAAGCCAGTTCCCTGAACTTCTCCCAGTGGTAAATCACATCTTTCAACTGTTTAGTTGACATATGGTCATCACTTTCAATTTCCTCCTCACCACTGTCAGCCTCTACCCGTAACATCTCATCCAGTTCCTTCAAGTCATTAGGAGTAAGTTCCTCCTCATGAGACATCACAAGCTCTTCCACATCCTTCTCCTCCACTTCAAGACCCAATGACTGACCAATGGACACAATCTCCTGGTCCAACTCTGTGTCATCCTCAAATCCCTCAAAATCATGGACTACTGATGGCCACAGTGCTTTCCATGAAGAATTGAGGGTTCTATTGGAGACTTCTTGCCATGATGACACAATCAATTTTACAGCCTCCAGGACGTTGAATTGTGTCTTCCAGAACTGTTTCAGTGTTAGTTCAGGATCAATGGAAGTTGCCTGATGACACCTCCTAAACATTTTCTTCATGTACAACTTCTTGAAGTTGCTGATCACATTCTGGTCCATTGGCTGTATGAGTGATGTAGTGTTTGGAGGCAAAAACAACACTTTCACAAAGTCAAATTTATACTCCAAATTTCTGGCAAGGTCAGGGTCATGACCAGGAGCATTATCCATGAGGAGAAGAGCCTTTAAAGGAAGTTTATTGGTGGTTAGGTAGCTCTTGACAGAGGGGCAAAACACATCAACAGCCCATTCATTAAAGAACTGTCTTGTCACCCATGCCTTACGGTTGGACTTCCAATAAACTCCAAGCATTGTTCTTACCACTTTCTGTTGCTTGAACACCCTGGGGTTTTCAGAGTGGTAGACAAGCATAGGCTTCAGTCGGAAATCCCCTGAAGCATTGGCACCAAGCAATAGAGTGAGACGGTCTTTCATGGGTTTATGCCCAGGTAAAGAGGCTTCATCCTTGGTGATGAATGTTCTTTTGGGCATCTTTTTCCAGAACAGCCCAGTTTCGTCAACATTGAACACTTGCTGTGGAAGATAATTTTCTTCTTCCATCAGTTTTTTAAATTCAATTAAAAACTTTGCTGCCCCTTCTTTATCAGCACTAGCAGCTTCACCATGCCTAACAACACTTAAAATGACACTTCTTTTCTTAAATTTTTCGAACCAGCCTTTGCTAGCCCGAAAATCTTCAAATTCTGTTCCTGAAGAACTAGGTTGATCTGTCTTTAAATGTTCATAAATCTCCCTGGCTCTTTCACAAATGAAATCACCAGAAACTGAATCACCTTTCATCTGTTTTTCCCTAATCCAGATGATAAGTAACCTCTCAGTTTCTACGATTAGGGATCTACTTTTAAACACTCTTGTAGATTTGTCTCTCACGTTCACTTCCTTAAATTTGTCTTTTTGTGCAAGAATTGTCGACACAGTTGATGCCGACATGCCATATTCTTTGCATAGCGCATTTGATTTAATACCTTGTTCGTGTTTTTTTATTATTTCCTGTTTTATTTGGATTGAAATCACTTTTCTTGATCTCTTAGGCCCCATGCTGGATTCAAACAATGGCAACACGTATTTTTCAAAGTTAAACTAGCTGTAAATAAAGAATATTTTCTTTAAAATAACACTGCACTGCACTATATATTGTCAATATGTAAAATAATTTTCAAAATGACCAATAATTTGCTTGGAAACACAGAAAAAAAAGCGTTTAGTTGAAGAGAGTCTCAAGCAAGATGTTACCTCCAGTGAAAACAGAGAGAGACTAATGCCTGTTTGCTGTGTTAAGAGGCTGGATGCCCCGCATTAAACTAGTCACTTTACCTTCAATTTTGTTCAATAATTGTTAAAATGACTAAAAAATTGAATATTAAACTTTTAAAATTATTGAATAGTATAAACTTCTTGATATTTACTAAAATAGTAAGGAATTTAAGCCCTAGAACCGATTAATGTATTGGCGGACTGATACTAAAGCTGGTTGCCCGGTCAGTGCAAGCGAAAACATGTTGAGGTCGGTTCGTAAGAAGTTCGTTAAGCGAAATTTTTTTCGTTAAACGAATTGAAGATCCTTATGGAAGGCAGTTCGTTAATCGAAATTACGTTAACCGAGGTGTTCGTTAAACGAGGGGTCACTGTATTGTTGATGAGAGTACAGTTCTAAAGAATAAGTGGTTGTACAGTAATCTTTGATGTATCTCATAGCCTATCTCTAGCATCATGACTTAGTTCATTGTCTGCTGACATTTTACAAGTCTGTTCACTCATTCATTGCTGTTTTTGCATACAATCTGAGTGTGCAGTACAGTACTACAGAAGAACCTCGATAATACACGAGATAGGTTCCAAGAGAGGTAGGTAGCTTTAAACCGAATTCGCACCCTGCAAATCGAAGTGTTGTTTCAATGGAAGAATTCAGTTTGTTACTTGAAACACAAAATACTAGAAAGACAGAGTCTACCCAGATGCACCTCAGCCCATCTCTTAGAATAAACAAAACATTGTTTTTTGTAGTATTATGTTAAAAGAAACACTCCTAAATCAACACAACTAAAATTAAGGGATACGAAATGGTCTGTTAACTGGGTGGGAAGATAGGGGGTAGAGGGGGGGGGATAGGTGATATGTTTGGCAGTTGGTACCAAGGTCTAGTGCTTATTTATTTATCTGTCCTTAAGAGTGACTGAGTTTTTCTCTTATAAAATGTCATTGAACTGACAAGGGAGAACATAATTAACATTGCTGGAATTCTTGTAAGATAGTGATTAATTTGAATAGAAACATGCTGTAGCTTGCATTGGACATACAAATTTTAGTTCTAATTAAAGAATTTTATTACAAAGAGAATTTTTTTTTATACCTTGTGCAAAATATATGACATTTATATTCAAATTATTCACCATCTTGCAAGGATTCCAGCAATACAAATTATATTCTCCTAACTTTAGTCTGATATTATATAAGATAAAAACTTTAAGCCTAAAACACCAAACCCTGGCTGGGAGGGAGGGAGGGAAGTGACAGTGACATGTTTGACAGTTGGCACTGAAGGTCTAGTGAAGTATTTATTTGTTTATTATGTCCTTTAGCTTGAGTTTAGGTTTTTTGCTTATAAAATGTCACAGAAGTGACTGGGGAGAGTATAATTTACATTGCTGGAATTCTTATAAGATAGTGGTTAATTTGAATATAAACATGCTATAGTTTGCACTCGACAAAAATTTTAGTAATCCTTTAGTGAATTATTTTGAGTACATGTACAGTACAGCTTTGCCCTTAGGACAGTGTAGCGCGCCCAGTACAACATTAGGCGCAAAATTTTAAACATGATGCGCCAGATTGACTCGCATAAAATAGGAAAAATTCGCTTTAAATTAAAACATTGTCCTTAATTGTGGGTGTCGCTTTAAATCAATAATCTTAAATTGATGTTCTACTGTACTGCCATTAAATCGTAAAAAGTGATTACTGTTACATATACTGTAATGTACATTCAGTAAGTGTGAAAGTACCATATGTACAGTACAGGTTGTACCTCTCTAGTCCGGCATTCCGTGGTCCGGAAACTCCCGTGGTCCGGAACGATTTTAGTTTGTCCAATAGGTAGATAGGCAGTGGTTTTTTTTTTTTTTACTTATCTGAATTATTATTATTATTACAGGAGTATTAAATTTTTGCCCCTCAGGCCCCAATGTGGGTCAGTGACCTATGCCCGGGTGGGCTAATCCCCTTAAAAAAAAAAAAGCCGCGGGAAATTAAGGTTTGTTTACATCCGGCAGTTCGGCTGCTCTCTCTCTCTCTGCTTGTCTATACAGAGTACAACATTTAACCCTTCAATATATATGAGCAGTAAATAAGTGTTGCTTTCATATTCTTATGTAGAGTAATGACGATATATTTTCACATGTGCGCACTTACATACGAGCAGTCTCACTTTTTTTTTTACCATTAATGGTTAGCTACTTATATTGTTCCATTTATTAACATTAAATAACATTACAGGTACTTCAAGCAACCATATTCATTTTTTACATTAATTTTACTACAGCTAAACTCAGGGTCTTATTTTCTTCAGTTTTATATGTAGAACCAATCAGTCACTGGTTTCGTAAGCTTTAACATAAACAATGCCGGCAGCCGTCTCGTCTCCTCTAATATTCCACGTATTATTAATAAATTGTATTGTTAATTTTGCACACACGTACATTAATTCAATAAAAACAAATTCAGAAACATTAATTAAAATATATATGAACAGTAAATAAGTGTTGCTTTCATATTCTTATGTAAAGTAATGATGATATGTTTTCACGTGTGCGCATGCGCACTTACATATGCGATCTCTCTTTTTCTTTACCATTATCGTTAGCTACTTCTATTGTTCCATTTATTAACATTAAATAACATTACTTAAAACAACCATATTAATTTTACTACAGCTACAACAAAGCTCTTATTTTCTTCAGTTTTATATGTAGAACCAGTCAGTCACTGGTTTTGTAATCAACGAAAACAATGCTGTGTCATTTCCTCGTGTGTTTCAATATTCTACGTATTATTAATGAATTGTATTGCTCATTTTGCACACAAACATTAATTCAATAAAAAAGACATTCAGTAATAAACAATAATGAATCTTTTGTACATAAGAGAAATGACGCTGTTTACACGATTATGCACGTTGGCAGGCCGTTCAAACCCGTCGAAAATCAAGTTTCCGCCGTCAAAATTTTTATTTATTTATTTTTTGTGTTCCAATAAAATACGTTAAGAATTAAAAACTCGCGAAATTTGGGAAGCTACTATACGACATTTAACCCTTCAATATGTCTTCAAAGAGACCATGATGCAGAGAAAGTGGTGCTAGTGCTTCCAGGCATAAGCACAAGTCACTATCTATCCAGGAAAAGGGTGAATTTCCATGGTCCGGCACCAGTCAGGTCCCGAGGTTGCCGGACTAGAGAGGTACAACCTGTAATATGCATAGCAGAGCGGACAGTGCATGCAAATGTGTAGAGGGTGTTACGTACAGTATGCAGTGCATGTTCAATCCCTCATTCAGGGAAGGAGAGGATAGTGACAGTTAGTAACAGCTGCTACAGGAGATTGTACAGGACAAAGACAGGTGATCCTGTGTGATCATATCACCATTTGGCCTGTCTGCATCACAAACTCAAGATGACAGCATCTTGCTGGTTAAGTTAGTACAGGTACTCCTCGACTTACGACAGCCCGGACACACGACCGCCGTAGTCGTATAAAATATTTTTCAAATTACGTATTTTCTAGTACCGAAATGTTTCTGTCCCGTACGACAGAGTGGGCTGGGCCGCCTCGTGGTGTACAGCATCCACACCGTAGCCCGCTCAGTTGGTGTTTAGCCGTCGCTGTCATTAGTGATCGCACTGTGTACTGACAAAATTTTTGTTTCTAATTCCCTTTAAAATGGATAGCAAGCGTAAAAGTCAGAGTTTTCGTGGTGCTGATAAGAAAAGGAGACAGTCAATTACTTTTGAGATGAAAATTAAAATAATAATGCAATATGAAAATGGAAAAACGGTAGCAACGATTTCACGCGACCTTGGCTTCTCTCACTCGACGATATCAACAATTTTGAAGGACAAGGCAGAGGCATTTGCTACTATTAATAAGGGGATGCAAATGTTTGAAGAAATGGATCAAAATGTCGAGCGTTTTGCAAAAGTTGACAGACAGATCCAAGATGCACTTGCTTGCTACAGGGAGATTTACAATGAAAAGAAAAGGCAAACTGTGCAGTCTAAATTGAACATATTGTATATTTTAAGAAGTCCCCCACTGCTGTCTCTTCACTCTCTAAAGATGATCCAATACTTTCAACAAGCAAGTATGTTAGCCTGTCTGAAGAAAGCAAAATTAATGACCCACACAGCCCTGTCTCCTCTTCCTCTGCTTCATCCAATTAATGTAGTCTCCATGTTAAATTAAAAAATTATTGAGGCCCCATGTGCATTCAGCTGACTACATTAAAGGTAAGTGCACAGTAACACTTCATTCATTTTTCAGTATTGATTACTTTTACTGTACCGTATTTCATTTTAGAATTTCTATGTATTATTTTCGCGTTTTCGACTAACGATCAATTCAACTTGCAACCAGGTCGTCGTTCCGGAACCCTGTCGTAAGTCAAGGAGAGACTATATAGCATATACAGTAGTTTAATTTGCTTATTTACAATATATTGTATGAATACAGTAATGTGTGCATAAATAATTGCAGCTCTGAGCCTAACTGCAGTCTAAAATGGAATCACTCACCAATGCCCCAAAAAATTCCAGGATGAGAAATTTGTCTCAAAACTCATAAATCTTTTTAACAGAGAACCGCTCTGCATCAATATTCCGATTAATGAGGATTGATTGTGGTAATAACATCCCTGCCAAATTAATCTAAAAGTTTAGTAGGCTAAAAACAAAATACAAATAGCATAGAACTTTCATAAAACCATTTAAACATTAAGATAAAACTCAAAGCTTGTGTAGAAGGCAGGGTTCCTCCGAAAAGGAGAGGATGTCCCCCCCCCCCAAGCATTCAAAGAGGCACTTACGATGAACATCTCTAAGACTAAGGCACTCTACCAGGAGGAGTCGAACATTCAATGGGATCAAGCAGTCACCACAATGGGGAGGGGGCACGCTTTCCATTAAAAAACCATGTGTGGCCAATGCAGTGACTAGCCAAAGCGGCACGACAGTCCCTGATATATCCAAAAAAATTACTGTAGTACAGATCTATTAAAACCTGTACAAATGACCTTTGTTCATTTACCTAGTTTTTGAGAATTCCAATGTTTATATTTTCAATCAATAAAATTCATAAATTTGCCAGACATTAAAATACTGCTCTCCCTCAATAAGTAAAATTCAAGAATTTTCCTAATACTGTATTGAAAAATATTTCATAACATGAATCCTTTCTCATGATTATTCACCCTTATTAGGCATTATTCAAGTGCAATGACTTTCATTGCTTTATTGATATGGGGTATTGAATTATTATTATTTTTTTTAAATCCCTTCACCTGCACACTTTGGGTAACAATGACCTTTCCTCTCATTAGGTATCAAATATTTAACTCACCAGTTTTCCAGATACTTTTCACTCACCTTTATTATTATACAAACGGTACAAGGACTGAACCCCAAGTCTCTCAGGAAACATATTAAACAATTAGTTAACATTAATAAAATAATCACAAACCTGAACCTCTGCACTTCTGCATAACTCATGTTAGCTATTTCAGGGTCTTCAATATACAAATTCTTCTCTATAGGTGGTTGAACAGCCCAACGTTCCTTTTCAATCCTCTCCTAGAGTGAAAAAAGTTGAATATGAGGTGCAGTCCCCCCAAAACACTTTCATTACCCAAGAGGGGAAAATGTGGTTTGTGGTTCTGGGAGCAGTTAATCCATCAGTTTTAGAACAGGTTAGTATAGTTGACCACAACTACAGGGTACCGGTAAACAGTGGTTCTTCTTTAAATGTCGGGGATGTGTTCCAGAGAAACCCGACTTAGGGTGAAATATTTTATGAGGAATTTTTCCCCATAAGAATTAATGTAATTAGGGGTATATGTATTCCAACATGTACACCATCAGTAATACTACTTTACAGTTCAGGATGTGTTCCTAGAGAGAGGACTTACAGCAAATCAACCTTAAATTGGGTCATTATAACAATGTATACAGTATTTTTTGGCCTGAATGGACAGTTTTTCAGTTGGTGGTGATGTACAAAAGCCAATAAATAACATTTTGTATCTGAATTGACAGTTGTAAAACATGAACTGATAAATATAGTAACAAATAATGTAAGAGACATACAATACAGTACTTTGAGTTCGAGCATTCAACTTGGACACTCAACACAGTGTATGCTCTAACTCACACACAACACAAGATATAGATATATATATATAGATATATATATATATATATATATATATATATATATATATATATATATATATATATATATATATATATATATATATATATATATATATATATATATATATATATATATATATATATATATATATATATATATATATATATATATATATATATATATATATATTATATTATATACAGTGTAACCTCTTTTACACGGTCAATTGAACCCACGGAGGCCCGCTAGAAGCTGGAAACGCGAAACTGAACAACAGAACATATGGGATTAATTGAAATAGAGACTGGGCCAACCTCAAACTCCACTTTTTCAGACACAAACCCACTGCAGTAAAAATAACATCTTAATTTTATGATGGTATGCACACGATTTAATAATTAAAAGAAATATCAATAATATTAGGTTTTTAACACTTACATTAGTAGAAAAGATAGCTGGGCACACGGATGGAGGGTTGGTTCCAGGCAGAGGACAGATTATTGGCCCTCACCTGTATCACTTGTATCACTATCCACCACAGAGGCTTGCAGGGCCTCTTTGTCAAACCCCCAAAGTCCACATAAGTCCATATCCTCACTATCACTGACTTGGGCCGGCTGTGGTGGGTGGCGGGTAAACAACTCGGTAATGTTTTGATGACTGGCGACGTGATGCGCACCCTGCCCGCACCGCCTCACAGATATGAGTGGATGCACCGCCAAAGTAAGAATCTGCCCTGACGGGTACAGCGAAATGTAGAAACGCCAAGCAAAAACTGAAACGTGTATATATATATATATATATATATATATATATATATATATATATATATATATATATATATATATATATATATATATATATATATATATATATATATATATATATATATATATATATATATATATATATATATATATATATATATATATATATATATATATATATATAAAAAGAGATATATATCATACATATATATATATATATAATCTATATAATAATATATAATATATATATATATATATATATATATATAAATGAATAAGATAGATAGAGATCATATCCATATCTATATATATATATATATATATATATATATATATATATATATATATATATATATATATATATATATATATATATATAGATAGATAGATGATATAGATATAGAGATCTATATCTATCTATCTATATTTATATCTATCTATCTACTATATCTATATATATACTATATATATATATATATATATATATATATATATATATATATATATATATATATATATATATATATATATATATATATATATATATATATATATATATATATATATATATATAGTAAGTGCTTATAACGAACGGATCCTACTACGAATATTCCTATAACGAACGGTTTTACCTATAAAATTGAGAATGCTATAACGAACAAAACAACTATAACGAACGAAACTCCTACAACGAAAATTTTTTTTTTTTTTTACTAATTTATTGTTTTTTATTACAAGTATTAATGATATTCTTTATTTCAGGGGTTTAGATGCATATTTATGCACTTTTTTACAATTTTACAATTTTATATTATATTTTTCAGTGTTAAGTGGTTGTATTTGGGGGCCTGGAACGGATTAATCCTATAACGAACGAATGCTATAACGAACAAGGTTCTAGAACCAATTAGATTCGTTATAGCATACCCCACTGTATATATATATATATATATATATATATATATATATATATATATATATATATATATATATATATATATATATATATATATATATATATATATATATATATATATATATATATATATATATACACACACACACACACACACAGTAATACCCCACTTTACGCGTTTCTTGTTAACGCGGTACCCTGCCAGAACCGGAATTCTCACTTTACGCGGTGCATCTACTCATATATGCGGAGAGCGGCTGGTGGTCCTGCCGCGCCGCCATTTTTGGATTCAAACCTCCCGCCATCTCCTGCCATGTTGGGCACGCTGCGCGAGTAGATTGCGCAGTGGATGCCTCTGTTGCGTTATCACTGACGTCATATGACGTATCGGACTGTGATTGGGCCACGCATCCTTACCTCCCTCCGCCGCTAGCTGTGATTGGTTTAATGTAATATGACGTGCCCTGCCGCGGGAGGGATGAACCCGCTTGACCTAGCCGCGTCAGTTACACCCTTCCCGGCCACACCGCGTATACCGGTATCTATTGTTCCATAAGAATGGCTGCCACCGGACCACCACCACCACCACAGAAAAACCCTGCATTACCTGGACCCAGCCGCCCTAAGCCAAAGAAGATACGACGTGCCCTAAGCTACGATGTGAAGTACAAGATTATTCAAGAGTTGGAGGATGGAACAAGACAAGTTGATTTGGCGTGCCAGCATGGCGTGAACGAATCTACGATCTGGTAGATAAAGACGGATGCAGCCAAGATAAAAGAACACATGAAAATCACAAAGTCTGCAGGTGCTTCAATGATCAAGTATTGCCAGAACAAGGTGCTTCTCAAGACGGAGAATTTACTTGTGAGCTACTTGATTCATCAGGCACGACGGAACATGGCGGTGGACACGCAGTCGGTTCAGGTTCAGGAGTACGCACGTGAACTGTACGCAGCAGTGTCACGTAAGATGGGAATTGCAGAGCCCAAACCCTTCAATGCTTCCTCTGGGTGGCTGCACAGGTTTAAGAAGAGGAACAAGATCACCAACATTAACAATGGTGGTGAAGAAGCGAGTGCTGACCATGTTGCGGCTAGGGATTTTCCTCCGTTCTTACGCGAGATTATGGAGGAAGGACAGTACACCGACGACCAGGTGTTCAACATGGACGAATCCGGTCTGTTTTGGAAAAAGCTACCTTCCAAGACCTTCGTTGTCCAGTCTGCCAGCAAGTGTCGGGGTCGGAAGTTGCAGAAGGAGCGCATCACCGTCCTCTTACCACCAATGCCTCCAGTTCCTGTAAACTCAAGTTATCGGTGATCCACACAGCCCGCAAGCCACACGCCTACAAGAACGTGGACATGACCAAGCTAAATGTCCACTGGCTGACCGCACGTAAGGTGTGGATGTTCTCTGCTCTGTCCCTCTCCTGGTTTGATGACTGTTTCGTTCCCGACGTGAAGAAATTCTGTGAGCAACAGAATGTTCCATTCAACATTTTGTTGCTCCTTGACAATGCACCAGGACACTCGCCCCTACTGTTGGATCGTCACCCCAACGTAAAAGTGGTCTTCCTTCCTCCCAACACTACGTCATTAATCCAGCCCATGGACCAAGAATTAATCTGCAATGTGAAAGCTGCATACTCTATAAAGAAGTTGAAGCTCCTGAACGACTGTACCAACACCAAGGATGAGTTGCGTAACCTGGATGACACCGATAGCAAGAGTGACGAGGACAAGGAACAACAGTTGGTAGAGCAAGAAGTTCTCGTCAAACACTTTTGGAGGAAATTTAACGTCAAGAAAGCTGTGGACTTCTTGGTGGAGGCATGGGATCAGCTGTCTGTAGCAACGGTTCGTCACGCATGGAGACATGTGTTGCAAGGTATCCCAGGTGGGAGGCAGAGTCAACCTGTGACTGGTGAGGTTCAGACTGTTGCAGTAGCAGTGGACCTTGCCAGAGAAGCTGCGCAGTGTTACAGCTGCAAGCTTCTCCGAAACCACCAACGAAGACGTCCTGGAGGTGATCAGGGATCCTTAAGTGACTGCCAATGAGATGTTAGAAGACGATCACGTCAGTGAAGAGGCAGGTGGTGCGTCATCCCGAGAAGAACACAAGATAACGCTTGGTAATGTTGAGGGTGCCATCGAGTGTGCAGAGAAACTGATGCTCCTCCTTTCCGACGACCCTAACGATAACCGGTATGAAGTCTTCACTACCCAGCTGTTGCAGATTATGGAGCCGTACATCAAGGTGTATCACGACAACATCAACACAAGTCGTCAACAAAGCATTACCGAGTTCTTCACCCGCAACCCACCACAGCCAGCCCAAGCCAGTGATAGTGACAGACAGTGATGGTGACTTTGAGGGATTTGTCAGGGAGGCCCTGACAAGTGTGGAGGACAGTGATGGTGACTCACCTGAGGGCCAGTAGTCTACCCTCTGCCTCGGAACCAGCCGCCATTCCCGTACGCCGACCCATCTCTTCTACTAACGTAAGTGTTAAACCTAGCCTTGATTTTTCCTAACATAACCTAACCTTAGGTAAGTGTTAAACCTTGATTTTTTTAAAACATAACTTAACCTTACATAAGTGTTAAACCTTGATTTTTTTCTAACCTAACCTTACCTAACTTGACAAGTGTTAAACCTTGAATTTTCTTTTACCTGGTACAGTCTATTATTCTCTTATTGATATGTCTCTTCTATATTATGTGTGTGCATACCATCATAAAGGTAAGATGTTAGTTTTACTAAAACGTACGTAAAGTGTTGGGAAAAAGTGGAGTTTGGGGGTCGGCCCTGTCTCTATTTCAATTAATCCCATATGTTCTGTTGTTCCATTTACACGTTTCCCGCTTTATGCGGGCCTCCGCGGGTTCAATTGGCCGCATAAATCAGGGTATTACTGTATGTATATATATATATATATATATATAATATACGGTACTTGTTATACCCAACAAAAGCTGAATACTGAACACTTCACTCCATCCAGGTGCTTTGATCATCTACAGTACATAATAGGATAGTAAATATAATATAAACTGTACATACGCTTCTGTTATGAAATGCATCCCAATCAATTGGTTTCCATTCTTGGGCTTTGTTGTCAGTACTAGTTGATGGTCTGAACTCTGGGAAAAATAAAAATAAGTTAGCAGACTGTGCCTAGGTTATTCATTATTATTTATATCTAATCATTATCAGTAAGACTGCAATCCAATAAAGAAAGCCTTCATACCAGAAACAAAGGATTAGATCTGGACAAGAGTCCCCTGGATAAAACCCCCTCAGTGAAAGTGCAAAGTAGGACAAGAGCCCCACAGATAAAGTACAAAATGGGTTGGGTTGGGTATTGCAGTCTTATTATATAATAAATCTAATATTTTACATGTCAGAGAAGTGTTCATAACTAAATAAGTTACAGGTATAAAATATTAACTTATAAAAATTCTTAATATTTGTTCTTGAGGGCTTTTTCCTACAACAATGAATGAATCATATACAGCTACTCCTCGACTTACCACCTACTCGACTTACAACCGCCCGAACATACGACCGCCCCAGGCGTACCAAATTTTTTTCAAATTACGTATTTTCGAGTCCCAACGTTAGTGATTGAGCTGAAGTACTGACAAAATTTTTGTTTGTCGAGGAGTTAATCACTGTAGGTGCACATGATCCAAGTATATGCTGCTAACCACAAGGAAACAAAAAACCACGAAGTTCCCAAACGCTTTCGTTTAATTCACATCTTCAGTGGTGAGTACAGACGTGCTTGTTAAGCGCCATATGTAGCGAATCGCAAGGGTTTACTGTACAGTATATGGAAGTCTGAATTCTATATGAACTGATAAGATATATATGTAGCATCATGTTTTCTCGCTGGATTCGGTAAAATGCTACTCCGACCACAGAGTTGGCATGGGCTTAACAAGCGGGCTTAACAAGCACGCTGAACAGGCTTTCTGTGGAATAAAACAATGCTTAGGATTGCTTTTGTTGTCCATGTGGCGTGGTGGTGGTGATCCCTGTTCACACGCAGAGGTCCAGGTTTTGATTCGTCTTTCGCCCCTATACCCAGCTCCAACGATCGATTTGCACGTCAGAATTGCTACGGACCTACACCAGAGTTTCCTCTGGTTTCATCCTGGCCAGGCACAGTTCACCATCTTTACCAACTATGACTATTTTCCTGTTTCCTATACTGTTCCTCCAACTCTACCAACTATTTAGAACTCTTTGAGTATCTCACTTCTTGCCATGAGTCGTTGCTATCCACACACCCCAACACTGAGATCCTCTACCCAGTGGATTTCAATGTACATCACTGAGAGTGGCTTGGCTCTGCAAGAGTTGACCCAGGTAGAGTGGAGGCACTCTCTTTTCCTTACTTAATAATCTGGAAATAATTAAATATCCTACACACATTCCTGATCGACACAATCAACTTACTAACATTCTTGATCTTTGTTCTACCTCTAACCCCTCACACTCTTCATACTCAATTTCTGCCCCCTTGGGGTCTAAGGTCTTCTGATCACAATCTTATTTCTATTAAAACACCCTCTTCAGGGTGCCTCCTAACCCACTGGATATCCTTCAGGACTCTGATATGATGGTGAGGGATAATCAGATAACGTTTTATTGTTTTTTAGATCAGTTAAGAAAAAGGGGCCTAGGACCTTGGATTAGAAACTTTTGACATGCTATCATAAGTCCCCAAATCCTGATTAGCATAAATTAATTTCAAACACATACCCTCCAGGAAATAAGCACCTTACAGCTTTGTCGGCTATCCTTGGTCAAGCTGCCTTACTCTTTACCATTGTTTACCTACACCGTCTCAACACACAAGAAACTGTATACTCCCAGATTATGTACACCATATATACCAACATTCTATATCCATGCTGAACTGTATAACACTATAACTACATAATGTAGTTTATAAACATGATTATCTAATTGTAAACCTGTGTGATAATTTTACTGAATTATTATTATTATTACATACCTTTACAATTTTTGCATTTATAGCAAGTGGTTCTGGTAGGGTAGTTTGAAAATTGACAAACCGTACATTCCCAATTCTTCTCTAAACATTTCCTCTGTTCATGATCCCAGTTACTGTTAGTGGCTTGATTCTGATTGTTGTATTCTCTTTTGTAGTCACAGCCCTTATTGCCTTGGCCATTGTTGTAGTCTCGGTAGTTAAAACCATCTTGATTGTTCCGGCGATCCCGATTGTTGAAGCCATCTTGGTTGTTCCGACGATCCCAATTGTTGAAGCCATCTTGGTTGTTCCGGCGATCCCGATTGTTGAAACCTTCTTGGTTGTTCCGACGATCCCGATTGTTGAAGCCATCTTGGTTGTTCCGACGATCCCGATTGTTGAAGCCATCTTGGTTGTTCCGACGATCCCGATTGTTGAAGCCATCTTGGTTGTTCCGACGATCCCGATTGTTGAAGCCATCTTGGTTGTTCCGACGATCCCGATTGTTGAAGCCATCTTGGTTGTTCCGACGATCCTGATTGTTGAAGCCATCTTGGTTGTTTCGACGATCCCGATTGTTGAAGCCATCTAGGTTGTTCCGACGATCCTGATTGTTGAAGCCATCTAGGTTGTTCCGACGATCCCGATTGTTGAAGCCTTCTTGGTTGTTCCACTGATCTTGATTGTTGAAGCCATCTTCGTTGTTCCAGCATTCCCAATCATCAGCGCCACCTTGTCTTCGATCCATCTTGCAATACTGCAAAGAAATACAGTACTGTACTGTACTGTAAACTAATAAGTATGTTAAAACAAAATGGAGAACTGATCCTGTAATCCTATCTAAGGACTTGACCAGACTAAGTAACTCATATATCATAACACTTAACCCCTTCAAAACAAACACCACTACTGTATTAATATTATATTTACCTAACACTATACGATTTTATTCAGCTCAGAGACAACCCCCATACACATGAATTTCATGAATTTTATAGTTGGAATCAATAATTTTGACAATTCTAAGACTTTTCTATAATGACAATTCTGGCACAAATTACAGTAATTATTCGCTTTACCACATCCTCAATTTTTTTGACGAAATGTTTGATTTGTTATGTATTTTGATGTGATTTTTCAGATCTGACCTTTGTTTCCATGGCCAATGTGTCGGTTTTTAAAAAAAGATGCAAATCAACCGTGATCAAAGACGTTTATTTTCCTTCAAAAACAAAGGTGAGATATGAACAAAATACATCCAAAAATATCAGAACCCAAACATCTAGACACCAAACTTTCACTAAATTAACCCGCCTTAACCTAGCCTCACTAACCCCCATAGGAGCCCTAATCCCAGCAGGGTAGGAAATGCAGTCATTATTAGGTGGAGATTTATTGATCTAATTTCTTAAGCATTTCTCACTTGTGCAATTTTTTTGAAAGAAACATATTTCCAAGAGGCTTCAAGGGTTGAGGAATGTATATGAGATAAAAATTGCCCAAAAGTAAGTGCTTCTATACAATTTGAATATGTGCTAAACTCAATAATAACCTAAATTACATGTAAGCAAGATACATAACATTTTATTCTGTATGTTCGTACGTGGCCGTACACACCCAAACCATTGAACCGTGGACCCTCCCGATTAGGTTAGATTAAAAACTATGTTTTTCCTGTGGTTTTTTATTCAATTTTGAATGTCTTACCTTGATTTTATACCAAATCTTTAGATTCTGAAATGGTAAGAGGGAGGACTTACCTCAAACGGTAAAATTTTATTTTCACGCAACCATGGAATCTGAGGAGTTTTATCTTTGCAATAAATAGTTTAAAAAATTCTATGACTCTTTTCATCTATGACATTTCCCTAGCAAATAACCTAAAATGAATTAACCTAACCTAACCTCACCTCACCTCACCACTTTGGAACCCCTGGTATATAGTATAAGTCATTTGCGAGGGAAATGTCACAGAAGAAAGTATTACAATACCTCAGAAACTATTGGTTTGTGCCAGAAATGAAGGTAAGACTTTGTTCATAACACATCAGAAACCATTGGAAAAACAGTTTCAACAATTTCGTTAAGTGGCAACAAGTGAGAATTTACCAATTTATGGTCATAGAGAGAGGAAATTTGAAATAAAAACTACTTATAAAATGAAAAGTTCTCGCCTCCTTTAAAATACTTAATACTGTACTGTACTGTACTGTACTGTACTGTACTGTATAATAATATGACCATCTGTGGAAAAAATGAACGAAATAAAACTCCTGGTGGTAAGTGTGTTCTCAAAAATTACAAAAAAAAACTACTACGCTAATTACCTATGCGGAAAATTTTTATTTAATAAAATATTTTATTTTATACCCAGCAAACACTACAGTTGAGAGCCTAAGACCCTAAGCACTAAAATTCTTATCACGCATTGCTGAGCTTGTTTTGATGACCAACCATTATGTGCCAGTAAATTACCAATTAATTTACAATGAACTAGTTATTTACCACCTCAACAGTAAATTATAACACTCCATATCACTAGCGATGTTTAATAATTCAGGTCCAAGCCATGTTACTCAATCCACCACAAAAAACACCGACCCGAATATCAATAATCTACCTTAATTCACTAATTTCATGTTGTTTATTTATGTGATATATGCAAGACGAACGTTTCAATTACTCAAATAACACTAAAACGTAATTTTTTTTAAGTTCTTGAATTATGCTGGGGGATTCAAAGGCCAATCACGCCAATCAACTCAAAAATTGACCTGTTATGACCAATTAATGTTATCTAATATCATTCTGACTCTTAAGAACTACTCAGTTATCTAAACGAATACACAAATACTTACTTAAGAAGAACAAAAATAAAATAGTAAGTATTCAATTAGGGATGAACGATGAAAACAATGGCCAGACCACCGGTACGACAGCTTCGCTTCACCCTACACCACGTCTCGCACCTACTGATGTTTCTCTTCACGGAGTTCACGGCTCGAGCTCAAACCCCAGACCCCCTGTCAGCCTTCAGGAGTTGATATACTGTCGCAGACACTGATAACGTTTTCTCAGTCATGGGTCACATTACGATTTAGGTAATTTTCTGCGGGCCTCTCCACCAAAGTTTATATCCTTCCTAACCCAAAAATAATGTTAATACATGTATTGTATTAGTACGGGCAGTGAAACAGTTTACCGTCATGTCCACCTTACGATATTTTCAGTTTACAATGATCACTACTTTTGATCGCGCCCATCCAAGGCGGATGAAATTAGTAAATATTTTTGATGAGAAATCAGCATCAGCCAGTGTATTATTTCTTGAGAATAGCTATTTAAACTAATCCTGATTTAAAAATATTGCATTGCTTTGAATTTGTGGCTTCTATCCTTGATTCACTGTGTTAAATTTTGTGGCTACATTGATTTACTAAGTAAGTATTAGTTACTCTGATTTATTATGTTAACTTTTGTGGTTTGGAGTATTGTAATGGAGTGTGAAATATATAAATGATTAATAAACTGTGGGTTTTTTTAATAATGAGGTCTTGTTTTCTGTATTATCTTATCCTTTTAATAAAATTAAATACGTTTAATTAAAATTTCTGTACACCATATACACAATGTCTGGGCGCGGCCCTGCCACCAGTGTGGATAGCATAACAAAGGGTTGCCATATCTGAGCATTAAAAAAAGAGGACGTTCCCGAAAATATCATGTGCCGCCGCCGCCCCCGCCCCTCCCCCCCTCCCCCCCCCCCCCCCCCCCCGCCACCCTCCTGCCTTGGCACACACTTTGGCGCTATGTAACCTTGATGCAGCCGGGACCGTTTTATGCTCTGGAAAAGTACAACAAATCGTAAGCACTAGCTGTGGCACCAAGCGACAAACCCACAACAAAGACTAAGAACAGACACTGTCACTGCAGGTTAAAGACTGGCCAACCACCGGTCACCGTCATAGTTGTCAACACACGTAAATAATATCGCGAAAGTGGCTAGATTATGGTTGAAAATTGCTAAAATGCCTTAAATGCAGGACAAGAAAAACAAACGCTACAGTGTAAAAAAAAGCCATAAGAAAAAAATGGTATACTTTCAACATTTCATTTATGGCTGTAATAGCACTAAATACAAAAAACATATTTTTTAATAATGCGCGTGGCTGAAGAACAAGGAAAAGCAGTACATGGCACTACAGGTTACCCCCAAAACTGCTAGCAGCTAAGTTGACAACACCGTACAGGCGTACACGTGACTTATCAGCTGACGAAAACTGAACAAGATCTCTACTGTTTTCACCTCCCCTCTCTCACAGTCTCTTTCTCTCGTCATTACAGTTTCATGATTCTTTCCGTGGAGAAAATGATGGAAGCTGAAATTCCGGACTTTTGAAGAATTTTAAAAATTCCTTCCGGATGAAGATTTCGAGACCTAAATGGAGGACTTGTCCGGGAAAATACGGACGTATGGCAACCCTAGCATAACAGACACATCTAAACCATCGGGTACAAGCAAGTATCCGTGGTCAGTAACTCTTCCTACGGCAAGAGGTCCATGCTCCCTGCGAGACTACTACAGGACCTACAGGTGTATGAAACCCAGCCTAATACGAACCAAGACATTATTATTTCCACGAACCTAAGTCGACGTGGATGACACCTATATAAGAAGCGAAAAAAACATGATCATAAACATAATGTTGGATGGAGACTACCAGGCCTTTCATTATCCCAATGACGGGTCGTAGATGAAAAGCGGCAGAACGTAGTCTAACCTGCACTCAAGAACAGGAAGGTGGGTGACCGTGCAGCCGGGCACCAGGGTGTGTAAACAATTATCAATTGTTATTATTAAATAGGATAATATCAAGGGTACTAAATAACAAAGATCGTTAAAATGTTAATCATAGAAAATTATAGTTTTGAGGCCAAAATGCTTGGTACACTTGTGTGAATCAATGAAACAGTTGTACGGAACCTTGTTGGCGGCGGCCTTTTAGACGCATCACAAGGGATTACCCCAGAGGTGTTAATTGCCAACAGTTATACTATTATTGGCCACTAAATTTTAATGACATGCAGCAACGTGGCACTATACTGGAACCAAGCGCCAAATAATTTCTCGCAGATAAATACTAAAAACAGTTAAGCACACATGATGTAGAACTTCTAATTGGCAGTAAAAAAAAATAAACCAACGTATTTACCTCACGTTTTTCATTCACGGAATATATATATATATATATATATATATATATATATATATATATATATATATATATATATATATATATATATATATATATATATATATATATATGTGTGTGTGTGTGTGTGTGTGTGTGTGTGTGTTGTCAAAGTAAGAGAAACAATTGAGAATGCAATTGTGTGTAAATGAAACAGAAAGTCAAATCAGCAACCTGGGATTTGGTCAAAATTTTTGTGATGCCATATGGCAGCAGGGTCTACCATTAGACAATATATTATGCTTCCAATATCTTCCCAGGCGGTAGTTCCTCCCTGTTTGATAGCTGCCTATATATACTACGCAGGAGGGTGGGTAACCGTGTATGCCCAGCACCAGAGTGTGTAAACAATTATCAATTGTTATTATTAAATGGGATAATATCAAGGGTACTAAATAACAAAGATAGTTAAAATGTTAATCATAGAAAATTATAGTTTTGAGGCCAAAATGCTTGGTACACTTGTGTGAATCAATTATGCACACAATTTGTGTAAAGACC